CACAGAGGATGATGGGAATGTGAGTACAGCATGTGCCACAGAGGATGATGGGAATGTGGGTACGGAGTGTGCTCTAAAGGATGATGGGAATGTGAGTACGGTATGTGCCACAGAGGATGATGGGAATGTGGGTACGGTATGTGCCATAGAGCAAATCCATTGGTCGCAACCCACATTTGTGTTGTGGCAATTTCTGAAAGGGTCACGAGGCAGAGTTGGAAATGTAATGTTTTAAAACCAGCAAGCTCCTATGCTGATCCACGATGAGATTCCCCAGCCCCAATCCTAGAATTAACCTTTATAAACGGTTCTTGGGTCTGCAAATGCTTAGTGCAAAACTAGTGAACACTCAACCAAACCAAAAAGCCAAACCACAGACGCTTAATTTACAATTCAGTGGCACATCCAATCAGATTTGTGCAAAAGGTGTAAAAAAGGTTGAGAACCACTGCCATATATGATGATAGAAATGTTGGGCTTTGACCCAAGGACACAGGACATGGGCTGACCTGATGCTGAGGGATTTGCTGCGCAGCTCGTTCCAGCGCTGATCCATGTTGTCCAATCGCCTCTGCAGCAGCGCTGCATCCTCAGAGCCCTCTAGTGAGCGCATGATGCGTTGGCCATTCTCATCCAGCGTGTGGAAGGCCTCTGTGTGAGCCTCGATCTCTGTCTGGAGGTCCTGAACAGCAAACCATTAGGGTCCATCTATTTAAAGAATTCCTGCAATCATGTGATTAATTCCGACCTCAAACCAGGCATGAACAAACTGCTTGAGACTATATATCACAGAAGGACAACTGAAACAGTACATTTTAAAGACATGCAATAAGATTGTTTCATTTTGGTTAAATATGAAATATATACATAATTTATTACTTTCAAATTATATTAATTGAAAATGTTCTGCATGGTATAAAATGTCTTTCATCCTAATTTCACATGCATGAAACTGATAAAAATCTTCACACTCTGTGACGTTCTGTGAAATATCTTTCCAAGATAAGCTGTTGATGTAGGCTTGGCCTACTTTAGAGATCAGATAAAATAAAATGGAAAAGTTGGCTGGATCTTTACAGTGGTCCAAATGCAGCCACTTTAAAAGTAGTGAGTGTGATGGACGAGCTAATAAACCAAACAAAAGAGATAAACAGGGGAAGGACCATTAGTCCAAAATAAAACAGAGATGACAGATATATGAAGGTGGAATTCAAGAATTCAAGTCAGTGTGTGCATCTTTAGGATCATAGCAATTTGAATCAATTGGTGGAGTTTCTTTATTTTATTGGGATTTGATATGACATCTCTTTGGATAGTTCTCATCATGGGCAGGAAGCCTCCCAGCCTGTCAAGACCCAAAAAACAATTAATAAATATATAAATTAAAAATATAAAAGTGTCTGTCAAACTTGTGGTTCACATTAAAAGGTATGGATTATTTAGACATGTGCCAAAAACCCAAAATCACTATGTTCAAACCAATAAAATCTCTTTCATTAATTGCACTAGCAGACTAATTTAACTTGACAGGTCCCGGAGTGTGAATAGACACATTTTGCTTTTCTGCTGAAATATGAAAAAAAAATGCTTTTTTTCTTAGTGTGGCCAGATGGACGATTTTCCATTGGGACATAATGAGCTGGACAGACCAATAATGTCATCATACTCCAAGTCCAACGAAAATTAGAAGTGAAGGTTAATGAAGGAGGTTATAGTGTAAATTATTTAAAGTTGTAAATGAGGAAAGCATGTTCCTCTTTTAAGTTTTCGTGATGAGAATCACAGACTTTAATCAGCCCCAATTTCCTAGTCAAAATGTATAGTCCTACCTGATCTTCCAATTGTACCAAGTACCCGGGCACACAATTCGCTTCCTAGCTGATCAGCTCACTTATGCTTAACATATAATCAAGCTGAAAGAAAATCTTTAAATATTGACCATGGAATGTATCCTACCACACAGCAAATGCTGAAGGGACATAACTGCATTAAAAACAAAAACAGAAACCAACTCGGTCAACAGCAAAACACTATCTCCTAATTGCACTAGGCTGGGATACAGCCTGGATGGAATGCCAGACCATATAAATGGAGATCAGAAAAATACATTTTAAAGGCTTGTCCAATCAATCATATTTCTTCATAACAAAGACAGAAATAAGCAGTCATTTATACGAGCTCTGAAGGCATGAACATGTATGATGAAAGGTAACGGACAGCTGGTGAGGGAACAGTGAAAACGGGATAGTTTTTGTGTACAGATACAATCATATCTTACTCTGTGTTTACTGCAATGAAATAGAAGGAGCCATCTTTCATCTGCCTGCTCCTTCATGACACATACGTCCCTTATAGTTATGCATATCCGTCATATTAGGAAAACAGCTGCGGTATCGCCCAGCTAACTTGGGAAAGATGATCACACTTCCAGGTGAAACAGGCCGTCTCATATCCCGCCACAGGAACGTAAAAGCAACATTCTGCTAGCACAGCCCACAGAGGGGCTGGGCCGATGCCTCACATAAGCGCCCTGGAAGAATACCCAAAGATACAGCTACACTGGGAGCCGGCTGGCACACGCTCCTCCGTAGGGGTGCTTGTCCCCCTGGTGACAGCACACTGGACACCAACGAACACTGCACCGTGAGACCCGCCAAGCAGCCTGTAACCCACCACTGGGAGGATAGTCCCTCTTTTTATTGGCCCGTATTATTGAGGAAAAGAATTATTAATGCTCCAGTTTGTTATTTATTCCAGCCAGCACTTAAGAACACTAACTCAAGAACTGTCTGTGCACAGGTGTCTCTAAGCATTACTCTCATGACGCAGAAACATTTTTCTAAATATCGAAACACACACTTGTTCATCCTTATTTACAAAACATGACAGAGCTTTAGTGCACCATCCAGTACATTTAAACAGAACATAATCATGCATAACTTTTGAATTAGCAGAGCCAGCGGGGAGCATAACCTAATTTCAAATGCAATCAAATCATTAGAGACCTCCTGTTCATTTAGTGATTAAATATTTGAGAAATGTAAGAAATCTTAGAGAATACTGGCACACAAGAACACACACATACGCAGGCGTCCGGAAAGAAAGCTGGCGAACCTCTGACCTTAACATGATACGTTTTCCTACGGAGCATATCCAGCCCAGGGGTGAGAGCAACAGTGTAGCAGGTTTATGGGATTAAGGGACCATTTTACTCCGGTCTTGACTGCTAAGGAACTGATAACTGCTCTCTTTTCAGTCACGTGAGCTTGAGTGTGAGTGTGTGTGTGTGTGTGTGCACATTTGCGTGCAACAAGCATAATGAAGCCCACAAAGCCTGCTGGTGCAAACACACGGACACATTGTTAGTTGGCTATGGGGCGGGAGACCAGTGTGTGGGTGCTGCTGGAAAGAGCCGTTGTGGGGCAGCTGTGGCCTCCCTACGAACAGACCCGTTTCTTCATCTCGCACGGCCGAGTGTGGGCACGCTGCTCCCTCTCAGCGCCGCATCAAACGGCCTCTCAGTGCACGCATTCCTCCCATACCAGAAAGGGCAGGCCCAGTCATCCGCTGCAGGAGAACGGGACAATCGTGCTTTCACATTAAAAGCCGCCCTCATGTCCCAGCCGGCGCGGGAATCATGCCTCACGGGCCATTCGCTGGACGTTTAACGCGGATCTTTCACCTGAGAGTGGCGGGGGTGAGATCACCATGTGTACATGCAGAGTAGTGATACTACAGGTTCCAGGGCCTTTGTAGGTGCCCTCACAGCGGACCGCGTAACACAACACCCTGTCCTCACACCTGACCCGGCACCTCAGACTCCTCACTGATCTCTAAATCAGACACATGCAGCCTTCCAAACTATCAATCATGTCAAATGAGCCTCAAATGTCCTGCAGGCCCTCATTTCCTGTCCTGCACTTAAACAACCTTGATAGCAAGGTTCAAAAGTTGTTACTTATTAACATGATGAGAAAACAGGTGTGCAAACCAAGACAGCCTTATGCTGACGCCAAAGGAGTCCTATTTCCTAATAATCCTAAGCACAGGTGAAACGGTATACACACATGGTTTATAATGGGAAGGTGATTTTATTCCAAGACGGATCATTTCAAACTTATGACTGCTTCCCTTCCCTGAAAAAACGCGGGCGGTTTCATTTCGAGTCGGGGAGCATATGGTGATCTGTGTAGCCTCATTACATGCTGCTTCTGAACTGAGCTACAGCAGTTATTTCCCTGCTGGGAGAGAGAGATGGACTGTGACAGGACAAGCTTCACCAGGTGAGCTGGGGAACTGGCCATAGCAACACAGCAAATAATCCAACATGTCCGCACATTGATTCATCCTGGCAGTACCAAAGGACAGTTAACCGAAGTCAATGTACAACTAACCACTCATTGTACTTAACCACATCCAAATAAACCAAAGGAAAAGGCTTTTTTTCTGGGCTCTAGTACAGCACTTGGATAATGAGGGGCTTTAAAAGTTGCAGCTGGTACTGCTGATGCAGAATGAAAAATTTGCCTCGAGTCAAAACATTGTGCTTTATAATTTTCCGCACAATTTTCTCATAAATGGAGTGAAAAAAATACATAAGCCTCACCTGGATAAGCAGTCTGAGAAATGGCCTGATGGATAAAATGGAAATGTTAAACAAATGTAGCATGTTTTTGAGTGTGGGGGCTCCTTGGAAATAAGGTAAAGATGAGTTTCACAGGATGACCTGGGGGGGGGGGGGAGGAAAAACCGAGTACAGCAAGTGTTTGTAGTGAAGGCTCCGTTATATGGGTAGACAAGAGCTTAGCAACACTCATCACGGGGTGATAATTAATACCACCTTTCTCTTACCTTTCTTTATAAGACCCTTAGTAAACTGACAATGCACTAGGAGGAACTTGGAGAGTCTTGCTTGCTCTGCCAGCCATGTCTTGAGAGCTTTTCAAAATTGCATTTTCAGAACCGATATTGATCCAACATACATTGTAACAACTCAGAACTGTCTGAATGATTGTCTGTTCGATACAACGCATGCTTTCAGAGCTCATACTGCCACAGCAAGCATTGGTATTGGTATTGTAACTGGTATTTACAATAACCCAAACTGACAATAACATCAGGCATGCAGGTGAAATTCAGCTTTCGCCTAAGGTAACAAAATATCTATAGCCTGCCAATGGAAGTGATAGTTCCTCTGACTGTCTGGACAGCTTGATTGTAATAATTACTCTCTGAAAGAGGGGAGAGACTGACTGTGATATCAGCTCTGAAAGAGGGAAGCGTAGCTGCTGATAGTTACTCTGCCAAGTGACAGTACTCCCAGGCAGTGTAAATAAGAGAGACAGATGTTAGAAATGAATGTCTTGCAGAAGAGATGGGCAGGGGTGAGTATTGTTTTGAGTATTGTTTTGAGGTGCAGTATGACTGGTCAGTACTTTAAATGCCTGGAACGTCTGGCAGCTTCTCAGCCCCTCTGTTGTTTTCAGACTTCAAAGCAAAATATCCTATTACTCACGCAATCACTCACGCGGACTGATTGTGGGCCATTGAGCTAGCGGGAGCAGACAGCCCCATGGAAAAAGAAGAGGGAGTAATGCCAGCTGCCTTTAAAAAAAGAATTCTGGTATATCGACGCAAGAGCCAAAGGCCATTTCTATGCAGTGTTTCCCAATACGGGCCTCGGGGACCCAAAGACAGTCCATGTTTTTGCTCCTACTGGGAGCTGGAAGGGAGCAAAAATGTGGACTGACTGTGGGTCCCCAAGGACAGGTTTGGGAAACACTGATATAAACCATACACATATGTTGGATTATTTGAGCCCCCCCCCACCCCACCTGCCACTGCCTGAGAAGCTGCCGTCCAGCAGACGGGTCCTCCTGCATCCCCTCCTTGTGGGTGGCGTCCTGCAGTACATTGGCTGTGGTTTCCGCCTCAGCCAGCCAGTTGAGGAACTTTTCTAGGTCCAGATAGAACTGCTGCAGAAGCCGCAGAGCTGCCTCCAGGGCCGCCTCCCTTTCGCCGACTCTGCAGGGGTGTGGCAAGAGGTCAAAGGTCATCTGTACCAAAGTGCTGTAAAAATGAGACTTAGATATTACTATTTTGGATAGAGGTCCCCTGCAACCCTGAATGGGATAAGCGCTTTCAGGAAATGTTCACAATCAAACGTGAATCGACGAATGAAGTGGAGTAAAGCAGCATTGATGGAGAACATTCATTACAGATCCTTCCCATAGTTTAACATTAGATTCATTCTGCTGAGGTCATTGAAAATCGCAGGAACCCACCACAAAAGAGCCTTCAGCAGAGGCAAATATTCAGGAGACAGAAAACAAATTTCCCTGGAGTGAGAAGCCAGTAGGAGCCAGATTAGGTGTGAGGGCCCACGCCTTTCAGGTCAGGATGAGAACTCACACACAGCTGGGCCGCCTCTTAAAACCCACTGGAGGAGGCCACGCATGGAGAGCCAGAGCGACGGTTTGATCAGTGTTTCTCAGAGAATGCAGCTCTACCAAAATTTCTAAGCTGCAGCCTGTCAGATGTTTAGGATTGTGATTCAGGCTTTGGAGTCTGAAATTAATCTCCTTTAGCCATATAGGGAATCTATTTCTAAAACTGAGCTGTTGCCACTTCAGAATAAAAAAATACATCTTACGGACTTTGATCTCTCTAAATCGTAAAGAAAAAGTCTGACGTTTTTCGGTTCCTCCTAATTCGACATCTGTTTCAAGAAGGCTCCTTCTGATTTAATAACAAATTACTGCAGAAGCACCTGCTGAATGTGCAGTGGCAATCTGACTCTGATTAAAGTCCCTGAGATCACCGCCGGTGGCTATGCTAGCTCTTACGACACAGCCTGCTAATGCACACGCTAGCGGACGGCTGCTGGCAAGGCGCATACAGATTTATCACACCTCCATGTGTTGGCCCTGCTCCTAGCCTGCCTGTGTAATCTGCTGTCTTACGTCAGATGGCTAACGCCTATCCACTCATCCCTGTACCCGCACCTCCCTGTGGAGGTCCGGCTGACGTGATTGGTGGGTGCGGGCCCCCTTATGCAGACCGCGGCCTACTCACTGCTTGGTGACGTGGGACCAGGTGGAGTTCATGCTGTCTGTCAGCATGCTGACCCTGTGCGTGTCGTCGGCGGCGTACTGGACCAGCAGCTTGCGCGCCAGATCATTGGTCTCGTCCACCTGCCTCTGCCACTGATGCAGCTCCTTCACAAAGTGCTGCAAGACACAGAATCGCCACAAGGGGCGCCCGTGCATTCATGCCTCATCGATATTATTAGCATTGACCCATTTCCCATTTAGATTTACTTTAAACCAAGAAGTAATTTACAAAGCATAATAAATCACGTACTCATCATTTCTCCTATTATATACATATGTAACTTAGAGAAACAAAAAATATACATATGCTTCTAAACTACAAACATGCCTGTCTGACAAAAAAATCTTATTTTGAATATTAACATTCAGATATTTCAGCTGCTTGACTGATTTCATCTTATATAAACACGAAGCATGCTTAATCATGCTGTATACCCCTGCTTGCTAAGCTCTCCTCCGAGCACCTTTTCCCACTTTCAATCTGCCCTATTTGTCCACAGGCACTCGAAGACCCCTGCCTTCCCTTCGCTGGCACTGTACTCAATTCAATGTTTATGCTAATTCCTCACTTGTTGACCATGAGACACTTGTAGATCATCACCCGTAAGTCCACATAATTAAATCACTTCAACATGAAACACTGCACTCCAGTGTAGTGCAGTGCAGTGGTGAAGAGGTGGACATAAGGAGATAAGAGGTGATAAAAGGGCACCAGGAACTGAACAAGTCTCTGAACTACTCAGCCACAAGAAGTTCCTTGTGATTTGAGGGTTGAAGAAACGTGGGCCATCTCAGTCACTTCTCCAGTCAATCCCACAATTTTCCCATGCTGATCGGAGCTGACCGGGGTAATATTCCATCTGTGCTCCTCCTAACTGCTTGTTAGCAAACATCCTGTTGATTTCCTCCCTCAGCAGGGAAGAAATATTGCAAATGCAGGTGACTCCCCATTATACATTTGGCAGCATTAGAGCTAGTTCATGTAAGGGAACAAGCGAACACACTGGTTTTACAGAATCAGCCCCTGCTGGTGCCGATTGTCACAGTGAGATCTGGAAGCGGAGCTGAATTGGGGAAGCTGCCACGTTTGCACATTTGCTGACGATGCCGCAGACAGGCGTGTCAGGGCCTGGGAGCCCCCTGCCCATGTCTGTAGCATCACTGAAGCAGCTGCCAGTGTTTGCATGCTGTCCTAAGGACTCAGCGCAGCAGCACAGCTGCCGTTCCAACCCTGTCAGTACCTAACTCTTCATTTTACTGGATGCTCACAAGCCGTACTGCATACAAATTGTCTGCCATTGTTCTTCCTCACCATGGGAATATCACTGGTATATATATATATGCTGTGGGGCCCGGCAGCCACTATGCCAGTGTGCTAATGATACCTTTCCTATTTTATCCACAATGACATCAACTTTGAGACAGTCCCTTAGGACACATTATTAAGTTCCTTAGCCTTTGTTAGTGATGTTCTCATCTTATGGAAGCTGAGTGCATTTCATTTAAATATAAAACACTGGACTTGATATACCTATTACATTTATCCTGTGCTTGTATGTGTATCCATAAAGCTGGTAATGCTGTATAAATATTAGATTTGTCTGCCTCTTGGTAGAGGAGTCTTACCTTGAGATCAGCATTTTGATTCTTAAGTGCATCCACAGTATAGGAGAGCTCCTTCCAGGATTCCAGCTTTTCATTGGCTCTTTTCAGCAAAGATTCCACCTCCTGTTTCGCTTTTAACCAATGGCTTGAGTCTTTTAGCATCCGCTGCAGCTCGAGTGCCCGGTCTGACAGGCGTCCATGCACCTCTTCAAACTGCGTTTGCAACCTATCGACTTCATAGCCACGGGGAGAAGTAGTGACAGGGAGAAACGCAGAGAGAGGGGGGGGAGAGAGAGAAGGGATAATCACAAACAGAGGTACAGAATCAGGGACAAAGTACAAAACATGCAGTAGATTCTGAATCTAAATGTACGTTCCTGATAATGATAAAGAATGACAAGCTATAACATCTGTACCCTGTCTTAGATAAAATTCTGCATAAGGACATTGTGCCGTAAAGACACTGTGAGAAAATCGATAGATATGTTTCTTATGGAAACAAAACAATGGTTGCTAATACCTCTGATGTAAAAACTGAGACATAGCAGTAACTTTGATTGTCATGTTCTTAACTCCTGATATCTCATGTGCATGTCTTATATTCTTCACGTCACTTACTGCGGTCCGTGATGGTGACTCGTGCCTCCTGATTGTTGGTTTTGTTTTTGAGGTTCTGGGCTGCAGTAATTTGGCTTTCCATTTGGGGGCGCCTCTGTTCCAAGTCCTGCAGTGTAGCCTGGGGTACACAGAAGCAGGAAAAAAATAATTAAAACCAGTGAAGTGATCCTGTCCCCTATACACCCTCCTGTATGAAAAGCTCGTGGTCTTGGTTCGACTTGTGAGACAATGTGCCGTATTGTTAATTTGCTGTAAGCAATTTTTGTCAACTAAGCAGAAAGAATGAATGATACTGAGATGCACAACACGGAGGCACGAACACAGCCGAACAGGCCTGCTAAGTAAGAATGTGCAAAAAATCCAAAATGCAGCTTTGCTGCCACAGCGAGCAGCTTCTGTTCCCCGAGGTTCTAGAAAGCAGCAGCTATTTCTCTAAGACCATACAAAATTCAGCGCATACAGTGCAAAATTACTCATTTTTAACTGACATACCAAAAAACGGTGCTAGCAGATTTGTGGATCGATTTAAAAATCAGCAGCCCTCACTCAAACTGCCACAAGGTCCCAGAAGAGCCCAAATGTGACTCTCAAGGCTTAGAGGGCTACCATTCACTGAGATGCTACCACCAATGGAAGCCATGACACTCATAAACTATACTGACAAGTAATGCAGACCGACTGATGCAATACTGAGGAGAGAGACAGAAAAACCTTGAATTTACAGAAAGTAATAGGAACAAACATGGCCACCTCATGTAAACAACCTGTGTTCCCACTCTCAGCTAAGGGAGTCTGACAGTGGGTTTTTCAATTTGTTGTGAAAATTAAAAAGGAGGAAGGATACATTTATCCTCAGAGGACTGGGAACACAAGTTGGTCGAGTCCTCCAGAGAGAATACAGAGACTGTCTAAACTTAGCATCAAAATATATGACTCTTTTGCTTTGCCAGATGAACTGGAAAAAACTGCCACCAGACTAAGAAATACTGATTTACATACATATTTATTTACTCCACATAGCAATAACTTAATGTTAGTATTTTAGTGAGTTTTACTATGCACTACATACTGACATTTAGAGAGATCATTTCTGCTCAAGAGTTGTTTAACATACAAGGATGTGCAGATTGCAATACACCATCCCAATAAGTACTGCCTTTAAAAGAGAGACTGAGTGATAAATGTCTGTTTACCGTGTTTGTTCATGTGTGTTTCTGTATGCCTGGGGTACCAACACAGGGGGAACCGAAATGTAAGTGAATTGTAGAGGTCTGTTTTGGTATCCAGAGAAACATTTCTACAGTCTCCTGGGATATGAAATGGAACTATTTTTATTTTTCATGATGGATCACTAGTACAGAAATATTCTAACACTGCAGAAGAAAAATATTATCCATCACAATTGGAAAAAATGGCCTTTTCAACCGAGTACTTATTTTCACCCAGAATATTTATTTTTTGTTAATGAAACAAAAAGCATTATTCATATTCCTCTCTACCCCAGGCTTGTTCCCAAACACACATGGGGGTGGTGTGTGGCTCTGTGGGGTAGGACTGTGGGTTGTGCCTGTGAGTGGAAGGTCACCAGTTCAAATCCCATGGTAGGCAGAGTGATTTCACCATTGGGCCCTTGAGCAAGGCCCAAATTACTCCAGAGACCGACTGACCCCACTTTCGCAATTGAACGTCGCTTTTGGATAAAAGCATCTGCTAAATATGCAAATTACATTCTGGGCAAATGCGCTGCAGCCTTACCTTTTGCTTTTTCATCATGTCATTGATCTCCTCGAGGTTTCCCACCATGACTCTCTGAGTCTGGGTCATATGATCCAGCACAGAGAGCCAATTAGTGAGCTCTGACAAGGTCTTGTTGAACTGTACTAAAGCTGGGATCTCCAGAAGGAGGGATGAAGGCATCTCACCCATTGTTGAACTTTTACCTGCAGCAGAATGCAGACTATATTAGTACACCTTCTACAAACTGAAAACCATGTATAATATGTTCAGCCCCATCTACACTTAATTTGTCTTTAAACAATGCTCAGCATAGAGGTGCAGAGGTAAACAAATCAACATGCATACTTAAGACCACTTCATTCCTCACTACACATCATTTTGGTTCAATAGCTCAACTGGGACAATCATTTTGTCAACAGAAATGCTCATGAAAACAAAAGACCTATAAAAACAGGACATGCACACATAGTCCATAAAGCTTCTCACACAGATGACTGCCTTTAGATATTTATTAGCACTACTGGGAATCGCAGAGGTAGGGAGGTACACACTGGCAGTCTCACGGATCACAGTGGTTGTGGGCTGGGATTTCATCTTCATTTCTTTCAGCAGGTCTTGGATGATTCTCCAGTCCGTACTGAGGCCTTCAAACTTTACCTGCAAGAAAGGAGGAAAAGCACACAAAGACAAATTTGGAACACTAAACTTATTATCTGGGTGACTGATCATGAGGTTAGACAGGGGAGTTAAAAATTAGTGAAGAGTACAGACAACAGTGCTTCTAACCTTCACAGCCTGACTTAGTGGATAGTCCTTAAACAGCAGCTGGCGCTTATTCAACACGCCCTCCACACTTGAGCGTTTGGCCTGGACTGCAGCCTCTGTCTCCTGAAATCATAATGAGTTTAATAATAATGCTGACACCATCCTGAAAGTAGACACCACAATGTGCCCATATGGACAGGAGGAACAGCAAGGAGCAGGTTTATTAGTGCGAATGTACAGACAGGAGCTACAGTACGAGTGTGAATGTTTGTGCTGGGACAGAAACTGAGATATAGTTATACGCCTTGGAACTATAAGATGGGAACTATAAGGGTGAGTGTTGAGATGGGAGTTTTTAGGTCAGGTTGGAGGCTTGATGCTGAGGCTGGATATAAGGGTTAAATAATGTTGTTAGCAGTCTTAGGTAAGAATGTGCTCGCAACTCTGGGCTTTAAAGTATGAGTGCTGAGAAGGGGACGCAGATAGGAGTGTAGGTGCTGGGAGAGGATGTGGGTGTTGAGATGGGAGGTGCAGGTAAGAGAAGAACCTTGACGTCCACGCCCCCGGGGCCTGCTGCTTGTCTGCTCAGCTCAAGTTGGTCTTTAAAGCCTGCGGCCCACTGAGAGAGCTGGGAAAGCTCCAGATGGAACTGAGAGAGGTCCTTCAGCAGGCCCTCAATCTGCTGCTGCTTCTCTGGAAGATCCCTGGACACCTGGTAGGGCAGATTAAGCCGACACAAGAGAGCTCCATAACTGGGGAAGAGGTTGCAAGCATATGTCTCGTCACAGACAAGCGCTGATGGGAAGAACAGGAACACGTACATTTGTTTGCTTTCCCCCGAATGTCCTTGCAAAATATCATCATTTCAGCCATTTTCAATTTTGCAAAAGTGACCTCCCTATATGACATTACAAAGGTGAGTGCAGGAAATCCTTCGGAATTTCAATGGCTCAGCAGCCTGTTTTATTTAAAGAGACAAGATGGCTGTTTTTTTTTTTTTTGAACAAGGGACTGTCTATAAATTAAGCCCTGATAATGGCATAATTTGTCATACAGACTAATGGCATTTTTACCTTACATTTTAATCTTTTTGTGTCACTTCTTTGGCAATTGCACATGAAAAATAATTTGTATCTTAGCCATTCTTACACACTATAATTCAATATCTGTCAGCCAGAGCAATGTATCTGGATGCCAAATAATCATTACTGACATTATCTTAACATCATAACGCTCTAGAAATGCAGGAGGACTGCATGAGAGGGGAAAACAGCCTGCGGTGATCCGAGATCTCAATGCGTGCACGCACCAAATGGGACAAACAGCATAATGGGCTGTGATGGGCAATTGGCGCCCAGTGGCATCGGAGATCAGCCACATGAACACTGCAAGCAAATGTATGGTCATATCAGAGTGGTTGTGTTATGGGAATGACCTCTAATCTTTCAGAGTCTATCACTGCCTGCGTTGGCCTTGAAAGATCCCAAAGTCCTACCCTCCCTGAATAATCTTCTCTGGGTACTGCTCTGTACTGTCAGACCAGTGTTCAATCTTAATCCAGTGTCCTCTGCCTAAGAATTAGAAATACAATATTTCTTTTTCTTTATAAAAATAATTACTTTTCAAAAATTGATTAAGTGCAAATACAATCAAATCCATCCTCAAATGCCATGTAAGCTGCACTGGCTGTTCTTAAACTTTGGATATCCAACGATTTTGTCACATTCTACTAACTGCAGAGCTCAGCCAGCTCATCACAGACCTAATAATTAGCTGGGTAACAGAATCTGGTGTGCATTTGGCAGAATACATCAAAAACATGCACTGACTGGTTGTGATGGTCTAAACTCATTAACTGACTGTCTTGTGTTGTTCTTTATAGCTGACCGGGTTTGAACCTGGATCTAAAATGGTCTTCTGCTTGCCTGCACTTTCTAGCAACTTTATGAGATGGTGTACAGAAATGAATGCAATGTACCAAATGTGTTCTAACCTGAAAACAGCATAACTAAATATGGCCTCCTTTCAGTTACACTCTAGGCTCCTTGGTATTTTCCCCTCTGCATTCTGTGTCTTCATTTTGACACTCGGACCAAACCTCTAGAACCCAGAATATTCATGAAAGCACAGCCTGGTGGATTCCCACAATTAAATTATACTTACTTACAATTATACTTGCTTTATTTTTTACAAAAATATAATGGCATATTTTGTCCATTTTCTTGCACTACAAGCTGCATGGGGATACTTCTTTTGTTATTTATAAACATTGCTCTTTAAGCTTTAAAAATTATTTATGAAATCGAAAAACTTGAGTGTTCTTATCAAAGTCAATTATGTACAGAAGTAACGCAAAGGTCCCTGCCCATATCTATGGGGCAGCAGGCTTCTTTCCCAGACCTCTCCACTCTATTCCCTCACAACACTTCTTTGCAGTTGAAGTTTGAGCCAATTCTGAGTCCTCCAGGACAAAGTTCTTTGTTATTTTTCCAGTTTGCCGTGGGGTAATTGGCAGGACTGGGGAGTAGCTCCCTCTTCACAAAGTGGCTGTGACAGATAGCTGACAGAGGACAACACAGCGTTATTCCTGCCTTAGTCCCCTGCAGTGCCGTCCCATTACCCTGGCGGTTCAGCGCCTAGTAATACCACTAACAAAAAAGAGGGAGGAACATCCCACGTGACTGTTTATCACTCACATTAAAGAAGCCACCTGGTTTTTATCAGCCCCATGGATGAGAATGGAAGTTCCCAGCTCAGAGAGTGGTTTAATTTATTTATTGTTGTGCATCATTCTGGCAGCTCAGTCACTAGCACTCTTCCCTCACATGGGTAGGGTTAGAGGTTTGAAAGCTAGCCCCTATTTGTGCAGAGGTGGAAAGTTCAGGTCCATAAAGTAAAAATCCAGACCAAGATTTTGTTTCAACCAACCAGTTAAATATAAAGTCACAGTCACAGAGTACTCAACTGATTGGGCAAAACAAAATCTTGGTCTGGATTTGTACTTTCTGGACCTGAATTTTCCACCTCTGCCTCTCTGTGTGTGCAGTTTGCCTGTTCTTCCTCTGTTACAGGGGATTTCTGCAGGTACTACAGTAGCATCCAGCAGCCTAAAGTTGTCTAAATTGATCATAATGTTTTAATGTTTGTGGTCCCAGTGATGGACTGGTGTCCCATCCATAGTGCTCTCCTGCATTGCGTCCCATGTTCCTACAATAGCCTCCAGCCACCCCCCCCGTGACCCTGTACTGGATGAGTTTTGGTGTCCATAGCATTTCTGGCATCGATTTTTATAATTTTTTTCTGCCAATGTCATCTGACATGACATCACAGGTATCCAAATCAGATGATAAATTTGGGTTGAACAGTGAAATATTCTCCAGACTTTCTTTCATATCTTTCTGGGCAGAAGCCAATCCATCTTTGTAAGTGTAGCCTCTGGGCATATTGCAAGTTAATACGCCGCTCCTGTGAGCGTTTGGGTGTGCGTAAACCTAGGACAAGTGCTTAGTGCGTTTTAGGGTGATCACCTTATTCCAGCGACTGTTGGCCAGCGTTAGGTTGCTATCAAGCTTCTTCTGCTCTGACCCAGATACTGACAGGCTGCCGTGCACAGAGCACCCTCTGTCATTCAGCTCCTTCAGATTGAGCTTCCTGTTCGGCACTTCCTGAACCCGAGCCTGGTCATCACATCCAACACACCAGCATAAAAACAGGAAAATCCTGATTAAAAACACATACACAGCAAAAAAGTAAACACACAAAACCTCCACAGTCTTCTAAACAATTCAATTAGATTCTGTGGAGGTTTGCCCCACTGGATCTGAGCCTCATTACTAAAAGTTACAACACAGGTTTAATTATACTGAAGGTTGTGGCACAGTTTTCAGGTAAAGTTTCCCTAGTTCTATAGACATTTCACAGCATTTGTGTGTAGTAATCACAAAACAGTTTACGGTGTGTTTCTGAAAGTCTCGGAATAGCTCTCCCGTATGTACTCCATGTACCCTTAAAGTAGCTCACCTGCATATTTTTGTTACAGTCTGGCAGCATCCAGAACAACTTTTTCTTAGAGAGAGAACTTTTTTTTTAAGTTTCACAATGTTTTCTGTATATATATATAACCCCTGTAAATGCAAGGGTGATTATATTATACTCTTGGCTGTTGTTTTTATTCTGTGTTAGTACAATGCTCTTAGTGAATTAATCATCGATACCGACAGCTGAAAAAGAGCAAGACACCGGCAGTGCAGATTAATATTCAAGCTGAAGTTCTCGAAGGACAAAGATAGAACAGAATAGAAAACGTTGTTTTACTTAATGTCTGACACGCTGTGTCCTTGTTTGGGTATAAGAGCATTCCCAACTCTGCCGCGGAGATAATGTCAGGATAAGGATATAATCTGCTTTCCCGTCTGGCGTGATATCCGGCAGCAGAGGGGGGCGCCAGGTGTGCGCCAGCGTTCAGAATCTTGGCCAGTTCGCATCGTTCTCATCAGCGCCGTGACCCAGATATCCGAGAGTGAAGCCCATCGGGCTGCGGAGGCTGCATCTAGACTGCAGTGGATAATGAAGTCGGGGGCTTGCCTGGGGTAGGGGCCTCATGAGGGGCCTGCAAAGGGTCCCCTGGGGCCCCAGGACAGCCATATAGGACCAGCTAACCAAAGGTTAACATTGCGACAGACGCAGATTGTGGACGGAGATGACGACCGAAAATATACAGTCACGAAATCTCAAAAGCAGAGGAAACTTCAGGCTGGGCAAACTGTTGTTTTAATACAGGCATATCTGTGCAAACTGGCATATCTGTCTCCTATTAGATGGGAGTTCTTGGCATGTCTGTTAAAAGGACATGGGTATCGCCTTATACTCAGAACATAGATGAAGCCCATTTGTTTGTTATTTATGTCGCCCGTGTGCAGACCCTGCCACGGAAGATGAAGGCCGGCGGTTCTGTGCGCCCCTGTTAGCCGGCGGCTGCTTGTCACACTCCGCGGCACAGCTCAGGAGATCTATCGCCCGTTTGATGACGGGAGCATCTGTGACAGCAGAGAGCTGGCGACTCGCTGGCGCCTGAGATGTCCGCGCGGGATGCACTCGAGGCAGCCAGCAGAGGTACCGCGGCCATCTTAAGCCTCGCCGTCCCCGGCAGAACGATGGCAATTACGTCCCACCGCTTCAGGATTCCCAGTCACGACCAGCAGACGCCAGGGCTCAGACTCAAAGCCCAGCATGAGCTGTGGGACTCCGGGAAAAAAACCAAGGCACTCGAGAGCCCAGTTTTAAGGCCGCTTTCACTAGAGTACAGTGTGGTACTTTAGCTCCCCTTCTGAAGAAGGCTTGCGTAAAAGACTGAGTGCTCTTCTGGATGCTTTACCAAAAGTCCAATATGTTTTCATCGCACATTTACTGGTTGGGCTGGGAATGAATATTAGTGTATATTTATGTGTCTTCAGGAATTTTTCTGGCAATAAGCCATAGGCAATCAGAGGGCAGATGGTTAATGTGTGCGAGTCCCCCTTAAAGTAAGTGTGTTGCATTCACCTGCACTTTTTCTAGCAAAGAGCTCAGCTGTTGCTGGTCTCCAGGGTGAGGGGCTATAGCAGCAACGTTCTCAGCGTCATCCAACCAGGAGAGGAACTCGCTCAGGTCCTCCTGCAGGTCACTCACGGTGTTGTGCATCTCTGCTGACCTAGAAAGGTGATACCCCGTGTCAACTGCAGATACAAATAGTACAGTACAGTATAGACTGAAGGGGGATACGCAGCAGGGGTGAAATGGACACATACTGGCATGCATACTGAGGCTGTAGTGTGTGTGTGTGTGTGCGAGCAGGTTTACCTATCCTTATGGGAACATAAATATCCGTTTTTTTTTCCCTTATGGGGACTGGTTTCCTGGTCCCCATAAGGGAAAACTCTATTTAATAAAAATCGGTGACTGCTATGAGAAAACTAAAAATGCAAAAACTCTTGTATTTTGTTAGGTTACTTATGGTTATGATTAGGGCAGGGTGGGGGTTAAGGTTGTCATAGTTAGCATTAGCATTTTTCCCATTGAAATGAATGAGCGGTCCCCATAAGGATATGTTTACCCTACATGTGCGTGTGTGTCCTGCACATTGTGTAAGCACGGCCAGTCACACAGCTCAAATGCAGCACCAGGCATACAAAGATATCTGGAGAGTTCATCCACAGCCCCTCTTCCTGTTATTTGCATTTCTATTTGACAGTTTCCCATTCACTGGCATTTTAATGCAATTAATAATTCCAAGAAAACCAGATGAAAATCATATGAAAACTGATAACAAGAAACAAGGAATCACTCTGGCACTTATTTTTCTGTGAATTGCATTGTAAAAAATGTTCTCACGGTGTCCTTTTCATGAGATACTATCTGTGTGGGAGTGTTTGCTGCATAATCACACACACACACACACACACACACACAAACCTCCTCTTCCACTGGGCAAACTGCCTGCACACTTCCTCCCAGCGCTTGTTCATGGAGCCCAGTTGCTCCTTGAGTCGGGCTCCTTCTTCCTGACTGCTCTGCAGGATGATGTCCTGCCCAGTCGTGTTCAGGGCGATCATGGCGCTTTCCTGTGCTGAGGCGGCGTCCTGCAGCTCCTAAGAAAACAGCCCATGCCCAGGCCAGGTTACGGTAAACCAGACACCAAACATGCTGCCATTTTCTTTACCATATTAGTCATGAAATAAACTGAGAGACGATTACAGAAAACCCCAGATGTAAACTTATATTTAATGGTTATTAAAATATCTTGACTGCCTTGGAAGTTTAAAGTTTTAAGCTTTAACTACACATTTTACCCAGTTATGTATAGGTTTAATTGCTGTATAATACATTAAGGTTGTGGAATTTAAACTAATATTTCACAATATTTTGGAATAATATTAGTATGTCCATGTGATACACCAATGTTTTTATTAATTCCTCCCCAAGACAAGATACAAAGATTCCTAAACCTTGAGAAGAATCTCTTTTTCCTAGCAAGAAAAAAGTGCAGCAACTGCCAACAAACTCTCTTTGTATTAACAATCTCATAAAGCACCTTATAGCTGCAATCACAGAGTTTGCTTTACAGATGTGTGCTTAAGCCCCAGAGAGCAGTGAAGGACTCATTAGCATTTCAAGGCAGGAACAGGTGTGGGTTACGGCTAGAAAGCAGCTCCCTCTACAGATATGTGCTGGCGCATGCGTGGGAAAGGCTCTCCCTTCAGACAGAGGCTCCCATCTTTTTTCAAAACCCTGTCCCAGGCCCCTCTGATCACTGGCCTCCGCAGATTGAGACGGACACCTGAGTGGCACCTGTGTGGCACACTGGCTCACCGCGCAGCTGCACGGGGGTGCCGGGATCACAACCCCAGTAAGTAGACTGGACAGGGAACAGCTGGCCACGCACACGGCCACAGCTGGGCGGCAAGGCCCCTGTCAGGAGGGCGGGCGACAAGCAGCCGACCTCATACGCGTGGTCGGGGATGGGGACAGGGTGACCTGTTAGTCAGGGCACTGGAGAACAAGGCTGTTTGCAGCCAAGCAATGAAAGAGCACCAAACGTCAAGTCATTTAGAAAAACATACCCATAATTACAGCCCATCAGTGTATCTCTGCACCAGGCTAAAACGTTAAAGAACAGAGGTAATGATGCTGATGTTTGCCAGTAACGGCTAGCCTTCCTCATCAAGCACTACAATTACCGGGGCTATGAAGGCTAGCCCGACTGGTCTGATCCCACAGGAGAGCTACTGTAGCACAAAATGCTGAAAAAGTTAATGCTGACTGTGAAAGAAAGGTGTCAGAACACACAGTGCATCACAGCTTGCTGCGTACAGGGCTGCATAGCCTCAGTCCGGTCAGAGTGCCCATGCTGACCCCTGTCAACACCGAAAGCGCCTACAATGGGCACGTGAGCGTCAGAACTGGACCATGGAGCAATGGAAGGAGGTGGCCTCATCTGATGAGTCACATTTTCTGTCACGTCATTTGTGACGAGTTGGAAGAGATGGTACCAGGATGCACTATGGGAAGACGGCAAGCCGGGACAGGCAGTATGATGATCTGGGCAATGTTCTGCTGGGAAACCTTGTATCCTGGCACTCATGCGGATGTTACTTTGACACAGACTGCATATTTAATCATTGATGCAGACCAATTACACCCTTTCCTACAATGGTAATCTCCGATAGCAGTGGCCTCTTTCACCAGGATGACACACCTTGCCACACTGCAAAAAATGTTCAGGAATGGTTTGTGGAACATGAAATAAGAGTGTGTGTGTTGTCTTAGCCTTGAAATTCCCCAGATTTAAATCCAATCGAGCATCTGTGGGAAGTGCTGGACAAGGCTGATCCATGGAGGCCCCACATACAGGAGTTAAAGGATCTGCTGGTGCCAGATACCACAGAACACCAACAGAGGTCTTGTGGAGTCCATGACTTAATGGTTCAGAGCTGTTTTGGCAGCATGAGGAGGACTTATGCAATATTAGGCAGGTTTTAATGTTATGGCTGATCAGTCTGCTCTGACTGTGATGTCACCCCCTCCAGAGATCAACCGATTCCCTGAGCTGCAGACTCTTAATGAACTAAGCCTTACCAAGGGGAAAAGTGAAGCTCTGACACCCATGATAGGTGGAATCACAATGCACCGTCGTTTACCGGCTGCTTAATCCAATGGGAGCCAAGAAAGCGCAATGGGAAGTGGCTAAAACCTGGCTGTGATTGACGGGCCAAGATAATCCCACCCACTATGGGTTTGGAACTCGCGTTCCTTTTATTACCACTAATCCTCTTTCCAGATAAGTTGTGCCCAGAGCAGCGATACGACTCTGACTCCCGCAGCTGTTACACGGAGAGATCGACGAAGGGCCAGAAGGTGCAATGGAGTGGAGCGCATGGAGAGCACAGCTGCATGCCCACTGATCCCAGGGCATCAGTGTCCAGGGAGAGATCCCCATGCCCAGCTGAGCTGTGGAACACGGCGCTTGTTCACAACAGACTATTATCCTCTTTAAACCCACTTCCTATCACCTCGACCACTGGGTCGCATCATCGAGGGCCCGTTTCGAACAAGGATACAGAGGTGGGATGAGCCATTGAAACACAGCTGCCTGCGGAGGGTGATTACATTCATTTAAAGCCCTTCACTTCATTACGATTCCCTAACTGCACGGATTGGTCGGCCATGGGGGGTGTGGCAATAAGGGGACGGGTGGGGGATGAGAATCCTAAATAAGAACCTTGATTAATATTTATTGTAATCCCACCCTCAACAATGCCTTTAAGCAGTCCTGGGAAAACCACTCCTAATCTGAAACTCCCAGTTGTTGGGAGCTACAGTTGCGAGCGCTCCTGGCGCAGTGTTGCTATGGAGATGGATAGAGGCGTCCCACTGGGAGCATCCTATATCATCAGACTTGCCTTTCTTGCCCAAAATCCCATGCTCAGATGCGTGCACGACACTACATGACCAGCATGAAATTATATCCCGAGCTAAGTGAAGGTCTCCCCCAGAACCCCAGAACATTCCGTGCGGCATTAAATGATCTGTTTGATGGAGAAGGCTTATTTTTCAGGCATTAGGGCTGTAGATTTGTCACCCGTGGACCTCTTTAATATTCCACTGTGGCAGTTCCATCTTGTTATCAGTATGGAAGAGAGTCCTGCTGATTAAGTGTGTGCAGAAAGCCCTCCACGTCCGCCTGAGCAAACTGGCCACTGGGTAACAATGGCACAGCCGGCATTCTGGCATTCTAGGCCTTTCCGGCATGAGGCAGCAGCAGCAGCTTCCAAGTGTCTCATCCATGGCATTTTATCTTCTCGTGCATATTAGAGAAAGTGATTGATGACGGCAGATTATTCTACTGGCGACAATATGGACACCCTGTCACTTAGTGGCTTAGTTGATCGGTTTATCCAACGGTGCAGATTTTATTTATTTATACACCTGGATATTTTACTGGAGAAATTCAGGTTAAATTTCACAAGCTCCTCCTGCACTACAAGTACCCCAGAACCATCTAGAAGGCTCCCTACTGTCTGCTCAGATAATGCTGAGTGTAAAGGACAAATTGCACAGCCGCAGTACTCTGTATGAAGAATACCAAACACAGCCTGAGATTTCTCTTCTCAATATCTAAATATAGGTAATTAAAGCCTAATTATTCCACTGACTGAAGCCCGGAAACCACGTCGAATTCAAGGAAGTTGCTTGTGTCGAGTTAATTACAGCGTTTCATGTTCACCGCTAACATGCATGTTACAAAAACAGAAAGAACAAACGGTGCCCTCTGGTGGCTCACCCCGAGGCTTCGCACTCCAAAACCCGGCACCGCACTCCATCACGCGGTTGACATCCTTGCCTTGGTGTGTCTTGCTCACCGGCACGATCTTGTGTCTGTGCTCGCCTACGTGGCCTGACCTCTTCCACACGGCTGGTTTTTGGAGATACACAAACCTCCGCATAGACCGAGAGACACGTTCACACAATACACACACGCACGAGGGAACCTGGGGGAGCCATGCCGGCTCAGCTATTTATATCCCCCTCCCGCCGAGAACATTTCAATCCAGCCATTGAAGTAAACCTCTCGGTATGAACATTGATCCAAAAATCACATACGGCAGCCCAGAGGGGACCGGCCCAGACCGCGGACAGGCTCCCGTGGGGCCTGGCAGAATTCAGGAAGACGGAGAGTGAGAGGGAAAGGTTCACACTGAGGTTCTCTACCTACGACCTTGAGGACATTAACATTTACCACTGTTTGTTTAGTGGGCCCTTCTATCCACTGAGACTTGCAAATCAGTGCAAGAATAAGAAAACAAAGAGGTCATCAGCTGCTCTTTGTTGCTCAGTTTATTAGGATTTTGGAATAAAACAATTACGCATGGATGTTTATTATTTAATTTCTGTTTTGAGGACTTGACCATATTCAAAGATTGAGTGTGTCAGTGATGGATTTTCGGTTTCAGATTTCAGGGAAATCAAACTGTGAGTCTTTTGAGGTGGTGCACTTTGGGGTATTTCCTTTGGGGGCGGGGGAGGGTCAAAATTTAAACACAGGCGGAATCCTTTCTTTCTGGAGGTACACAAGTGGCATGGCCAGCCTGGCCTGTAAACACCGCCCGGTGTGCCAGGGCACTGAGACCCGGCGATTTACCTTCAGATGCTCCCTCCTTTGGACAGGCTGACGCTCCGCCTGAGCCAGGCTCCGCTCCGCATCGCCCAGCCACTCACTCAGGGCTTTCAGGTTCTTGTTAAAGTGCTGCAGCTTGTCCTGGGACAGCTTGAAGCGACTGAGGGATTGACGCAATGGGTGGAAAACACAAACACCGAGGATTTAAATATGGAAACAGGGTGATAACAGGTGGAGGAGGAGGCAGATTGTTGCCTAAGGGATTGAGCACTAGATTCTCACTGTTCACATTCAGTGCTGATGAGTCTTAACCCTAACGTGACACACACAGCCACACACAGAAGGCACAGCCAGGCCTTGGGACACGTACGCTAGCCGGTCACAGTACAGCTTGTTGACCTTCTCCCAGTTGGTGCTGAGCAGCAACAGTGTGTCCTGGATGCGCTGTGCCTCCACTGGGGAAGCCTTGCGGAGGATCTCTTCCTTCCGGCCTTGAGCTCTTACCACTGGGGTTCCCAGCTTCTCCAGACTTAGCTTAGCATCCTACAAAATAAAAATATAGCAGTACGGTTCACTGGACAAGATCACATCCACATGGCTGTCATATGTCTATATAACGCATCAGCAATGTCTTCTCAGTAAACACCTGCTCCAACATTGCCAATGAAAGGCATAATTAATCCAAAGGCACCCTAAAATATCATAATGCAATGTAAAGTGTAATGATGTAAATGTTTTCAATGCTAACACTAAACCGCTCTTTTATTGACTTCACAGGTTGGTTTTAAGCTTCTACTTCCCCAGCCAACACAAAATGTTTATTGTCAACACTGTCTTTAAAATTAGACATTGTCAACAGATCCTAACACTTCACTCTCCACTCCTCTCACTAACACCAATTCTCTCCGGAATATAGCCTGTCACCTTCTTCATTCTGATCACTTACACACCATATGTCTTCATTCTATGACCAATATGAAGAATTTGCTCACTGACTTTCAGACCAACATCCATTCATTTCTATGGGCAAAACCCTAATCCTAATTATGACAACCCAAATCCTACCCAGCCGTAAGCTTAACCACAAGTAACCAAAAAATACAAGACTTTTGGCTTGGTTAGGTTTTTGACTGCATTCAAAGATTTTTATAAAATTGAGTTTCCTGTTGTGGGGACCAAATGTCCCCACAAGGTTAAAATAACAGGTCTTTATCACAGTGTGGGAACCACAATGTAATATATACAGTACATGCCCACAGACAGAAACAGACAATGACACAGACACAGACACAGACACAGACACAGAGGAACCCACCTGAAGGCACTTTTCCTGTTTGGGAAGCTCATAGAACACACCTGCCCAGTATTCTGGGGAATTGAGCTGGAATTCTGTATTAGCGATGGAATGCAGGAGTTCCTGCAGTTCACACAAGTATGCTGGGGCCTCCTGGACAAAACAACAGCTATGTTTAGTCATGGCAAACAGTCACTCCAAACACGTCTGATCTTAACCTTTCCCTTAAATAAGACCTTAACCCTGACCACAGAGCTAAACACAACCCATAATCCAAGAACCACCGTCACACCAACCACAAACATAATCACATGCTTCATTTGAAAACAAACTCCCACCCACCCAGCAATGTAACTCCTGCCAAAGCCTAGCTATAACACTTAAAAAAACAAGAGAAACACTCATTTTAAATGTTCATCTGACCCAGCTCAACACTTTTAACCCCAACAAGAAAACAATACTAATATATACCACATTATTTGTGAAATCCTCACTCAATCTGAATTTCCTAATGAGGTTTCTGAGTCATTTGTCTCCACTTTATGCATGCAAATCAACTTCTACCACTCCATGCACATCCCTCCATCTTCAGAATAATTTCCTAATAACTTAGCCATACTTCTTAAAACCACCCATCCTTTCTGCACATGAACAATGGAGCTGCCAATTATAAAAGTACGGGGAGAATCTGAACGTCTGAAAGACATGGAAAGATTTTTAAATCTTGTAACAATGCTGAAGTAATATTTTTAATATGTTGGAATCACCCAACAAAAACACAAATAATGTCTTATCCTTTGAATGACTGTTCAGTCAGACTAAAATTTAATTTTTATCAATTTATCAACGTGTGACTACTTCATAACACTGGCAATAGTGCAGAAAAGCAGTGAATACACCCAGCATATGCTTGGGTTTCAAGAGACAGGACAGAAAGTGAGGACAGAGCAATTACTGCCATGTGTGGTAATAAGGACTGGCATGCCTCAGAGCTGGAAGCATACGATTACAGTCCAGCACTGAGCTATAAGGAAAGTCTGCTGGAAATCTGAGATGATGGATGACATTCGAACCTGCCACGTTAACTGTACCTAGAAAAATGATCGTGATAATAACAACAAAAATAATAACCATAAACATGTTCCCCTGTTCCTGTGAGCCAGTCCATAATCGCTAAAATCCAGAACAATTTCTGGTTGCCTCTCTGACAACTTCATCGTTTCACCTCCATATCTCAGCCCACTCTCTCTGTGACCTGCCAAGCATTTCACCTACCTGTCAAACTAATTAGGGTAACGTAAGTAGACTTAAACTATGAGACACGTCGGAACATTTCCAGCAAACTCGATGACTAATGGTGTTCGATTTATGACATTATCAAGAAGTTTCTATAAGCAAACAGTGCAGGGAACTTCCTGAGAAGGACAGAGTTCTGGTTCTAAATACACTGAGACAAATCAGTGGACAATTCAGCCCAAACAAAAAAAAAAAAAAAAAAAAATCTTTGCAGTGCCAGTTTCCATCCATGAACGGTGCCACATTGAAAGACATGAATTCAGTTCCAATTTACCATCTGTTTTGTTATTTAAATGCTTATCTGGCATTCTAGAACTTTTATCCAATGTGACAGACCTTACAGATTTTATTTTCGCCCACTTATACAGGATATTATTGGTTTTCAGCATCGTCGAGTAGCTTTCATTAGGTTTTTAATAAACCAAAAGAACAGATTTCCGCATATTTCTAATGTTTGTTGTTTATAATGATTCTCATTCATTGACATATTGTTAACAGACATCAAATGGCAGGTTACGCGAGTGCACTTGGCTGTCAGTTTGAGTCCCCTTGAAAAAAGTAATTGCCCTGATTTGCTATAGAAAAAAATACCCTGACATATTAATGGGCAAAAAACTGTAAGTGACTTTGGATAAAAGTGTCAACAATGCAAATAAATACAAAGAAATAAAACCAAACCAATCTTCTACTTGACTTTTCTTCTTACCTTTTTTGGCAAGTAGAAGTCTGCATTTTATTCTGCATATTATTTTGTTATGCAGTCTTTTTATTCTTTTTCGGATAATATATTTTATCTGAAGTTGTATAAAGATATTGAAGAAAATAAGCAATTTCTTTACATGCACTTAGCTTTCAAAAGGTTTCGTGAACGGTATTTGTGTTATTTTTTTAAGGCTTCGTGAATCAATTTCAGTCATGGACTGAAAAACTTGTGACACTTATTTTTAGCGATAAATTATACTTTCAGTGCTCAATACTCATTTTTTTTATAGTATGGCCAAAGGTACGTAGAGATAGGATGATTGACATTGTATGCTGCAAGCAGGAGTTTAAAATAAATCACACAAAAGACCAAGCAAACATAAAATCACATTTCCAGGGCAGAGCGGGCTTAACGTTGAACAATGGCAGAGGCAAATTAATGATGCAACAGAAACCAACAGCTCCTTCTGCTCCTCTGTCTCACAGAAATGGGACAGACTGATCTCTTGTTTGTAACATTTGGCCGGCTACTCTCTTGAGGTCCTCTTGTCATATGGGTAGCTGCACCAAGTTAGTGACAGTCTCTGCAAGGCAGGGTTAGGGCCTGGGGGGGGGGGAGCGAGTGAGGGGGGACTCACACTTCGCATGGAACGCTGGTAGGGAGCAAATGTGCTCTGAACCTCCCCCCAGCGTTTGTTGAGCTGAGCGAGGCGGGGATCCACGAGCTGCGCAGCGCCCCCATCTGCCAGAACCTTGGCCTGCACCTGCAAGTCACTCAGCTCCACACTCTTCTGCTCCAGCTGCGAGCCAATGTCCTAGTGAACAAAACCAGCCACAATCACAGAGGGAGTGACCATCCACACTGGAGCATGGGGGGGGGGGGGCTCCGCACGGCCGGTCGGTGCTGGCACACGGTCACGCCGGAGGTGCTCCTCTACGCGGAGGTGGGGGCAGAAATGGAAGCTGGAAGCACAGCCCCCCAGGGAAGTTATGTCACTTTGCATCAGTCATACAGTGTGGCACAGTCACACGGCTGCACAGGGAGGGGGACACCGTTCACACGCCATCACAAAGGATAACCCCTTCCGCACAGCTGCAGAGGGACAGCTTTCCAGACACTAATATACAGGGAGACATGCGCCACCAGTCAGGCCAGTCACACAGGGCGAATGAAGATATTATATTTTCTCCAGGGCCACATGACTGACTATTATCATTACGGAGGTTTCTACACACAGCCGTTCATCATGTGATCTTTCATTCAGGTTTGCAGAGTCCGAGCCCTGCGGAAAGCCGGGCCATTTAAAAGGCTCAGAGAGGCTTCCTCTTATAAGCATTGCTGCTTCAGAGTGGCTTCTCTCGTATGCAGTGAAACACGCTTTATTGCCCCGGGGGGGGGGGCGGGGGGTTGTCCTAACCCCTGTAGACAGCTCAGTAATCGTCTAAAGGCCTGCCCTGCACAAGCCTAACACTCGGGAACTGAGAACAGAAAAAGAAGCGATGAAATGAGCAGAGACACACAGGAGGAGGGTGTCGTGTGTCGCGCGGGAGCAGGCGTGTGTGCGGGGGCGCGTCCGCGTGTGTGCGGGGGCGCGTCCGCGTGTGTGCGGGGGAGCAGGCGTGTGTGCGGGGGCGCGTCCGCGTGTGTGCGGGGGCGCCTTAGCCCATCCATTTAGCAAAATGTCGGAATGATCATCTGTAAGAAAGACACGTATGTGTGTGTGTGTGTGTGTGTGTGTGTGTGTGTGTGTGTGGCTGCATCCTGGTTATGGTGGCTGTAACTGCAAGGGTGGTTATAAGGTAAGAATCTTGCATGTAGGTTTCTTTGTTGTTATTTGAGGGTATATATGTGAAAAAGTGCATGTATGTCTGCTTGTGTGTATGTGTGTATTCACAGGGCCCAGCATAGGCAGACTGGAAGATGGATGGTTGAATAGAATACAGCTAAATGACCACTGGCGTGTGCTGGAGAGCATGTCTGACAGGCAGCACAGCAGGCCGCTCCTCAGCTCGCCATACCTTCACCCTCTGCTCCTCTGGTGGGTCTGTCAGCTCCGCCATGCTCCTCTCTATGTCGTCCAGCCACTGTAAGAGATCATCGGACTTCCTGCGGTACTGGTACCATTGAGGGGCGATAGCCAGGGCCTTCTTCTTCCTCAGGGACCTCAGGTCCTGCAGATGCAGTGAGTTAGAACCCAGCCAACAAGGAACATTCAACTCCAGCCAGAGCTGGCAGGGAATGTTCTAACTGAAACATTAATGGGCCGTTGTTTCCACGTTTTACATTTCTGTCAATGTCAGCAAGGTAAAATTATTACCTGAACATCCTTTTAATGCAATTAATGTTGAAAAATATTGTTTCATAATAAATTATGTTTTTATTTTAAATGTGCTATATGTGTATACAGCAAACACACCATCCAGCCTTGGATGCATGACCTTTGAGCTGTAAAGCAACAGTGTTGCCTGCTGCTTATCGTGTCCCTCATATGTTTTTTTATCTTTATTCTTAGTTGCAGTAGTAGTTGTAGTTGAGGGATAACGTTCTGGGAACATCAGAAAAACTGGACACTTTGAACGTTTCCATACTTGTCAAGTCAAGTCAAGTCAACTTTATTTATAAAGCCCTTTACGTACAGCAACCACTGACCAAAGTGCTGGACATAGGAACACAAAATATATAAAAATCATAAAATAAATAAAATAAATTAACATAGCATAAAGTATAACCACAACTAAACATAAATATGAACAACAACTCACACTGGATCAAAAGCCAAGGAAAATAGATAAGTCTTTAGAGCAGATTTAAAAATGGGCAGTGAAGAAACCTGTCTGATGTAAAGTGGCAACGAATTCCAGAGTTTAGGACCTGCAACTGAAAAAGCACGATCCCCCCTGAGCTTCCGCTGTGTCCTCGGCACCTCCAAAAGCAAGTGACCAGCCGATCTGAGCAGCCGGGAAGGAGAGTGCAAATGTAGCAGCTCAGCGAGGTAGAGTGGGGCAAGTCCATTTAAAGACTTAAAAACAAATATAAGAATCTTAAAATGAACTCTAAAATGAACAGGCAGCCAATGCAGTGAGGATAACACAGGAGTAATGTGCTCTTTCTTCCGTGTGCTTAAATCATAACATTCTGTAAACATTAATAGAACAAAAAAATGTTAGTGGGGGAGCCCCCTTAGCTAAAGAAAACCATCTCCAGTAGAGTTTCTAGACTAGATAGAGTTTCTAGACTAGATAGAGTTCCTAGACTAGATATTTCTACTGCTGCAGTGCCTTGATTGTGTCACCTTCACAGTATGTACTTGATGTTCAGTGTGTTCAGTACCATTACAGTGTTTTACTAAGTGTAGTACCTTGCAGTACCTTGACAGTATTCTACTTGGTGTTCAGTACCTTCAAAGAATTTTCCTCCATGTTCAGTAACTTCATAAAGTTGTACTCTATGTTCAGCAGCTTCACAGTGTCCAGTATGTTCACAGCGACCTCACAGTGCTTTATTTGGTGTACAGTACCTCTGGTGTACAGTATTGTATTTAGTGTTCAGTAGATTTGCAGTGTTGTGCTTGGTATTCAGTGTGTGTTTAGTACCTTGCCAGTGTTATACTCTGTGTTCAGTATCTTCAGTGTTATAGTACGTGTTTAGTACCTTCCCAGTGTTATATAATGTATTCAGTACCTTGACAGTGTTATACTCCCTGTTCACTACTTTCACGGTGTTTTATTTGGTGTCTAACACCTGGACAGTATTATATTTAGTGTTCGGTACATTCAGTGTTGTGCATCGTGTTCAGTGCTTGAGCAGTAACTTTGCAGTTTTTACTGTTTAGTACCTTGACAGTGTTATACTCCCTATTCAGTACCTTGAAAATGTTATATTCTGTGTTCGGTACCTTGACAGAGTTTTACTCCATATTCAACACCTTCACAGTGTTGTAATCTGTGTTCAGTACCTTGACAGAGTTTTACTCCCTGTTCAGTACCTTGGTAGTGATATACTCTGTGTTCAGTATCTTGACTGTGTTATATTCTGGTTCGGTACCTTGACAGAGTTTTACTCCCTTTTCAATACCTTGGCAGTGTTAAATTCTGGGTTCAGTACCTTCACAGTGTTGTACTTGGTGTTCAGCTGGTCATGCCTGATGCGGATCTCTTTTCTCTTGTTCTCATCCGGAACTCTCTTCTGCAGCTTCTCCCCCTTCTCTAGTAGCTCTTTCACTGCTCCCTCCTCACAGTCCTGCATTACAGACAGAATGGGTTGTGACACCAACAAATCCAATACAGCAAAACACGAAAATAATTCCTGCTCCACCAGGATGTGGGCTCAGAAAACACCTACCACCATAGATTGCAGACACGCACGCATATACAGCTAGGTCCATAAATATTTGGACAGAGACAAAGTTTTTCAGTTTTTAAGTTCTGTACATTACCACAACAAATTTTAAAAGAAACAAGTCAGATGCAGTTGAAGTGCAGACTTTCTGCTTTAATTCAGTGGGTAGAACAAAAACATTGTATAAAAATGTGGGGAACTAAAGTAATTTTTCTACACAATCCCCTCCTTTCAGGGGCTCATAAGTAATTTGATAAATTAATATAACTGCAAATAAAATGTAAAGTTCTAATACTTAGTTGCAAACCCTTTGCAGGCAATGACTGCCTGAAGTCTTGAGCTCATGGACATGACCAGATGCTGGGTTTCCTCCTTTTTAATGCTCTGCCAGGCCTTTACTGCAGCAGCTTTCAGCTGCTGTTTGTTTGAGGGTCTTTCTGTCTGGAGTTTAGTCTTTAGCAAGTGAAATGCATGCTCAATGGGGTTGAGATCAGGTGACTGACTTGACCATTCGAGAATATTCCACCAGTCCTGGGTTGCTTTTGCTGTGTGTTTTGGGTCATTGTCCATCTGTATTATGAAATGCTGCCCAATCAGTTTGGCTGCATTTGGCTGCATTTGAGCAGACATGATGTCTCTGAGCACCTCAGCATTCATTCGGCTGCTTCCATCCTGTGTCACATCATCAAGAAACACTAAAGACCCAGTGCCACTGGCAGCCATGCACACCCAAGCCGTCACACTGCCTCCACCATGTTTACAGATGATGCAGTGTTCTTTGGATCATAAGCTGTTCCAGCCCTTCTCCATACTTTTTTCTTTCCATCATTCTGATACAGGTTGACCTTGGTTTCATCTGTCCAAAGAATGCTGTTACAGAACTCTGCTGGGTTTTTTAGATGTCTTTTTTTGCAAAGTCCAATCTATCCTTTCTATTCTTAAGGCTTATGAATGACTTGCATCTTGCAGTGAACCCTTCTTTTTATGGTAGACTTGGATATTGATACACCTACCTCCTGGAGAGTGTTGTTCACTTGGTTGGCTGTTACAAAGGGGTTTCTCTTTATCATGGAAATGATTCTGCAATCATCCACCACTGTTGTCGTCCGTGGACTTCATGCCTTTTTGCGTTGCTGAGTTCACCAATGCTTCCTTTCTTTCTAAGGATGTACCAAACTGTGGATTTTGCCACTCCTAATGTTGTGCCAATTCTTGAATAGTTTTTTTCTGTTTTCGCAGCCTAAGGATGGCCTGTTTCACCTGCATACTTCCTTTGACTGCATGTTGTATGTTCACACCTCAATCTTCCAAATGCAAACAAGACACCTCAAATCAACTCCAGGCCTTTTATCTGCCTAATTGATAATGAAAGAACGAAGGAATTGCCCACACCTGTCCATGAAATAGCTTTTAAATGAATTGTCCAATTACTTTTGGCCCCTTTAAAAAGAGGGTGGCACATGTTAATGAGCTGAAACTCCTAAACCAGGGTTTCTCAACCCGGTCCTCGGGGACCACCAGACGGTCCATGTTTTTGCTCTCTCCCAATTCCCTGCCAATTGGGAGAGAGCAAAAACGTGGACTGTCTGTTGGTCCCCAAGGACTGGGTTGAGAAACCTTGTCCTAAACCCTTCATCCAGTTTGAATGTGGAAACCCTGAAATGAAATCTGAGAGTCTGCACTTTATGTCCATGCCCATTGTTTAACTTCAATTAGAATATATTTCAGTAAACAGGTAAAATAATAAAACTTGTGTCAGTGTCCAAATATATATGGACCTAAATGTAAATTTACATCTTATGATTTATCTACTATTTTACTCTCCTACTGGTTTTATACAAAGCTCCTGAAAACCAGCAAGACACACTGGATACATACAGTGTAAAACAGAAAGGTTCCCCAGGGTGCTCCCAAGTACCCCAGTAAGAGTGAACTCATACCCTGTCCTGTTCAAAGTCCTCCTCCTTGAGGTTATCTCCCTGTCGCACCTCCTCGTCCAGCAGCCGTAACCAAATCATAGCTTCACTGTGGTACTGTTCCACCTCCCGCTCTGAGGCTGTGACCTGCATACACACACACACACAATCACATATAACAATGAACAGTGACCACATTATGTATGTATACAAGTTCCAAAATTCGAATTACTCTCACGAAGTCTTGAATGAATAATTGTGGCATAATTCTAGCACATAAACCACAGTCACAAACAAAGACACCTAAAGTCAGTAAGTTTTCACGATAAATAGAAAGATTTAAAAATGAAAAGGGATGATAATAGTTTTGCCAGAGTTGTGCCAGTATATAGCTATATGGCACTTTCCCCACATGGATGAATAAAGTACTTCCATTCTAAGAAAGCAGTTTCATAGTATTTTTACTGGAGTGTGCTTTGAAAGTAATTTCAATAGGGAGGGTATCGAAACTGTTTTGGATTGAGGTTTAACACTAGAGTAATTGTAGTGCAGGTTTTTAAAAAGTGTGACCAGAATGAAGCTGTACAAGAACGTGGTCGAAGTTCGGCTTCTCTGGAGTGTGGTTTTCCTAGAGTGCCTCTCAACCTTACGGAGAGAACGATTACAGCGTGGTTTCACTGTGGTTCCATCAGCATTTCATCCAAACCCGTTTTGTGGTTAGAATATATATCATGTCCCAAAATGTAGATAGTGAGGCAGTGGTTAAAATTCTGTTTTATCAGAGCATAACTGGAGAGTGGTTCTGCCTGAACAAGTACAGTGTTACCCAGGGTGTCTTTAAAGTGCAGCTTCTCCAAAGCGTGGTTAGAATATAATTAGATGTTTCATTTCACCAGAGTGTGTTTAAAAGGAAGCCATCACAGTGGGATTTTGAGAAGCTTTCACGTTTTCTACGCCTGAAGAAACCAGTCTTTCTTACGGGTCTGTTATTTAGTCTACGCAGATGATTGGAAGACTGGAGACTTGTACACTGTAAAAAAATATGTGACCAGCATCACTGTAGAATGCTAAAGAGACCAAGCAGTTGGATTCAACAAAAAACAGTCCAATCAAAGAGTCTCTGACAGCATACAAGTGAGATCTGCAGTGTCTGATGACATCACTGCTGTGACCACAGTACCTGGCTGGTGCGAATCCGCCGAGCGATGGCCTCAAAACGCTGATTGAGCTGGTCCAGTTTGGGCTCCACCAGGGCGCGGCAGTGTTCCCCCTGGTTCTTCATCATCTCCTGGGCCTGGCTCTGGACTGCTTCCAACTTTGCACGCATATCTTCCAGTTCCACCCGCAGTCCCTGTAGGGCAATCAGCAAGCAGGTAAATGCAGGTAATGAACTCTACTTTACAGACAATCCAGATGGATAACCCAACCCAAGAACCTGTACCCATGTCTGGATGATTCCCAGAGGAAATTGCTCATCCCAGTATCAATATGCTGGAAGCTCCTGGAACTGGTATCCAATAATTATGTTTACTCCTGAAATCCAAGGAGCTATGCGGTGATAACCTTTGGTATAAATAAAGGCCAGCTGTCAGAAACGTTCATTCCCGCACGCCTCAGTTTGTTTTTTTACCCAACGAGGTTATTTACACATATCTGAGTCCTCCATCCGTTTTCAGTTAGAGTTTAGTGATTCAGCCAGTCCATGAAGCTTAGAGAAACCTGTCATACACTGAGGACAAAATAGTTCACAGTGCAATTTGGCATGTTTCTGGATTTCGTAAAAACAGACATTTGATTGAACCTAAAGGTCTTTGCATACGTACTGTGGCAATAAAAATAATAAAACACGGTACATGTGTCTGTCAAGTTACTGCCATCACTGAAGGCAGATAAGGGTCACCGCTAAATGCCAGGTGAATCATTTCTATAACAACAGGGTGGTATTAATATGTGTACCTAAAAAACTGCAGGGAACACGCAAACACAGTCAACTGCTTCCAATTACCGCTTCCAATCCATTTCCTGTGCTGTCGGTGTATATTAAAAAAGATAATAATAACAGTGTGTACTAAGAGGCACAGAAAGAGTATTTTTATTGCCAAGGCTAATCTGCTAATGGGTACTATGATCAGTGTAGAGAATTACAGGCTGAGCACCTCTCCAGTGACAGTAAGTGTCAGCTGACAAAGATGGAAGCACCAGAGGTGTCAGGCACTGGAATTAATTAGCAAAACTATCACATTAACATTAAATCATCACACCTATTTACATTTTTGACTGGAAACTAAGCCATCACAATCCATTAGGCCACAGTAGGAGAAAAATATGCGTTGAATAATTACTTTAATCAATACTCGTTGCGTTGAGAGATCTAAAAACAATTACTGCGATGCTAAAATTCCGACAGAGAATAATGACACTACAAAGATACACAGAGCACACACACACACAAACACACATACACACACACATACAGACATAGACACACACACACACAGACTCCTCAGAAAACATAACTACCTTTATCACATGGTCCTTAGTGCCCAGAGGCTCTGACTCATCCAGAAGAGTCTCGGATCTGTGCATCCAAGCGTTGATCTGGGAGATGTTCTGATCCAGAGTGTCCACCTGTGACTGGTAGTCCTGAATGTAGGAAAGGACAAACGTTTTTGGCATGTCAGCACATACGACCTAGTCCCCCATCGGCAACAGTAGCTCCCAGTGACTGTCCACCACTCAGTTCTAAGGCATCCCCCTCATACTCCCAGTAACACAGATAAAAATGTCATATTTCGTCCCTCTAACCTCAATAAATCAGATATGACAGGACAGAATGCAGTCTCCGAAATCAAAGGGTGTGGCCTCAGTGACGATGGAAATGTAAAGTAAACCGAGGCAGCAAACGGCTGTGGCTTGTTTAGCAGCATGCTGCATGGAAGCAGATGAAGATGAAGAACGGACTCCATCTCCTGGATTCTGAATTAACTGCATTCATAACTAATGACTGACACCCAGACAGACCACTGGCACCTAGCATAAGCTAATCCAAGGCAGTTTACAGTTTGAGGCCAGTGTTACATTGATATGTTTTACTGCAGAGATTCATATTAAATGTCTTGTTTGGTCCACGACAGCAAGAGCCTGAAACCAGCAAGCTTCTGGTTATGCTTCTGCATTTGTAATTACTGTGCGACATGGGGAACATGCAAGGAGTCGTGCTCCTCTGCCTTTAAAAATGCTTCACATCTCCAATCAATGACACACTGAGCAGGACTGTAACATATTCCAGTTCTGTGTTTCAGCAGCAACTGGAATGCTCCTGGTCTTGTACAGTCCAGTGTAAACAGAGGCTCATTTTCCACACGAATATCAATGTACCTTTAAACAGCAATCATAATAAACAAACCCAAAGGCATTACATCTGTCCAAAATATTTCCTATTTATAAGTGACTATGCAGCCAGCTTACTTTTGTTATACAATTGTATACAACAGCAATGTCTCCCTGACAATGACCAGACAAAGAGACAGAGACTCACCAGCAGAAGGTGGAGCCACTCCTCACTGCGTGATGTCACAGCGATCCAGTTGCATTTCAGCAGGCTGACCTTGTCCTCCACCAGACTCTCCTGGCCTTGAAGCACTGCTTTGAGGGCATCGGCCAGCTCCGCCACACCCTTCAGCTGCTGCTCGTGCTGCTCTGTCTCCTTCTGTTTGGCCTGCCGACGGAAGAGCAGGACACGGACTGTAAGATAGATCTGTGAATGTGTGTGTGGATATTATCGTTATAACCTTTTTTGTGCATTGTTTGGGTGGGTTAGGAATCATTAATTGCTTTGCAATAGTACTACATAGGTGCTAGATAGTGCTTCTTAACCCAGTCCTTGGGGAGCCCCAGCGGTTCACATTTCGCTCCCTCCCAACTCCCAGCCAATCAAGAACACCAGATACATGATGCAGGTGTGCTGGTAAGTTTGTGAGTTCTTTAGAACATGAGAACTTGCTTGTATTCACAAACATTTCTGCTCAGGATCAGATTGATAGTAAAGACTCAAGTTTGTTTTTTTTTTCTTTTTAAATACGGCAGCTAGATTCAGATTGTTATCTCAGATTGTTATCTCATTGATGGACTCTCCTGGATCCAATTATGCCCTGAACTGACATATATACATATATGCTTTCTTTTCTGACAAAGAGATTTCATTCAGGATAATTCATTTTTGAAACATTTTTGTGTTTCTTATCAAATTTCATATCAGAATTTACAGAAGTTCAGCAAATTCTAAAAGGTTCACTAACTTTTTAGCACCAATGTAAAGTGCCTGAACAGCAAATATGTAACTGTTTGTTTGTTAGGCAGCGCCAAAGACACAGCTATGTGACTGACAGGTCGGTAGGAATATGGACACTGATGTGAGATGGGTGTACATTTTCTAGACAGGGCTAGACAGATGTGTGAGAGACGGACTGGCAATCGTCAAAGATGAATGGGTTGTGCAGCAGGAAAAATCAGTGTGTGAGAGAGGCATCAGACTGCTGCGACCCTGTACCTTAGCCCAGGCTACCTCAGCACCTAGACTGTCAGGCATCCCATCCACATCTGATCTGCGTGTCAGCTCGGCGTCCGTGACAGCCAGCCACTCCGTCAGGCTGTTCACCTCCTTTCGCAGTTTTCGTGACAGCTTCAGGCTCTTCTCCAGCTCCTGCTTGCTTTCCGTCACCTTCAAAAAGATGGCCCACCCATAAGAAGCCTCATTACAGCACCTGTCTGTCACAAACTGCTGTGTTTCACCCAGGTCAGTGTTTTGATTAGGAACTAGTTAGACAATATTGCCACCCGGTGGAGAGATAAATGTCATGCTATGTCTAGCTTAATGTATGGTAATTGTAGCGATTAACTCCTTCAACATCCTCCTGAGGACCAAGTATGTACAATGCCAACTGTGGCATTGTGTAAGTAATATTAGCAGAAAAGGAAGGAAGGCAAAAAAGTTGTACAGAAATGCTACACCGTGTCCGGGGGCGGGGGGGGGGGGGGGGGGGGGGAGGTTACCTCGTGCCACTGTAGACCTGTATATGAATATGACAGTAAAGCCCACTTGACTTGAAAGTGTAAGAAATCATTACAGCAAAAATAGAACGGGTTAAAAATATCCAGAAAAATATTTTTTGAAGAAATCACCTCAGATCCCGTTAAATAAGCCACACTGTGAAACAGGTCAGAGAAAAACACGCTAATCATTCCTAATTTCTTTTTAATTATGTCCCCATGAAATGTAATACGCATTTGTGTAAACAAGAGGGAGCTCTAATTGTAGCACTGACCATCCAATCAGAGAAGTAATTAGGGCAGTAGGTGGCCCTGATTGGCTGACCTGGGCCCCTAGCTCATTATACAGCAGCTTGAGCGCTGTAAGCCGCTCGTCCAGGTCCTTGGGGTTCTCCGTCTGCTGCCTTTGAACGATCTGTCGGCCCGTCTTGATCACTGTCTCCACCTCTGCTTTCACCTCGCTCAGGCTCTTATAAAACCTCTGTTGGGAAAGGCAGTGAACATGACCAACAACACACAACTCACAGCCCAGGGTCAGCAACTTAATTAGTCACAATCTACGCATTACATTCACACTTCTCAAAAGCATCACATACACCAGGGCTCAGTGACTGCTGTTATCGAGAGTAGAAGAGTGTGTTGGGTTTCGCAGCAGGACCACTATTTGATTTGTAGAAGTTCTTTATAAAGAAGATAATCTCACATTGGACATAGCTCTAAATTCTGTGAAAATTTAAACAAAGGTGCAAGCTGTAGCCGTGTGGCTATTTAGCTTCCTGCCTCTAAGCTAACATGTTCAAATGCTTACGCTTATTCAATGCTCTCATGTCACTGTCGTGTACAGGTTACACAAAGCGACGTAAATATAACATACTGTCTCAGTTTCAAACTGATTTCAAATTGACACACACAAAAAAAAACAAAAATATGAATGACTGTGAGTCTAGCTAGATAAAGTCTGTTCACACATGGAATCCGATACTGATAGAAAAGTGACCAGGACACCTGCGTCATTATGAATAAATATTAAAACTTGCAAATGTGTATTGAAACCAAGAAATAATAACCGGAGAATAATTGAAAACTTGAAAATGACAAGGTTGCCCCATTACTTACTCTATACTCTCAGAGACATTTTGGTTGCATTTCCTTTATTTGCCCAGGCAGGTGTGACACATCTTAACGTGACAGAGATACCAGCTGGTTTCTGTCATTCTACCCATGGCTGTAACTGGTGTGCACAAGTACCCACCATGCACTGGTCCAGCTGGGACTGCACCACCTCCTGGTCGACACTGCGCACCCCCAGCACACCAAGCTGGGTCTTCACCTCATCCAGGACCCGCTCACACACTTGCAGACGTTCGTCAAAGTTGGCTGGCTTCTGGAAAAGCCGAAACTTCTTGATGACCTCCTGGAGCTTTTTCTATAGCGCAGGGAAAGCATGACTGTTGGAAAATGCATTTCTCACCAAAGCCATGACCAAATTGTAATTCTCTCCGGTCAGAAATCAGCTGATACCACAATATATATGAAAGAAGCCACATTTCAAGCAAAGGATAGGAAATGTATAGTTGTATATGTTTCAAGGGCGACTTTCCTGTATTGGTGTATCTTACCTATGGGATTTTTACCTATGAGCTTCATATTTGTGTGATACATCGCTGTGCTATAAATGTGTGGGTGCTGTTTAATTCTCACCTGGGTAATATCTATCTGAGAGTACACTCTATCAGACGGATCTTTGTTTGCATTCTTTTTCCTCATCTCATCCAGACTCAGTTCATGGCTGTTCAGCTCTGTCTGGATTTTCTGTAAAACACAAAATTCAAATTTCCTCCTCACCTTGGCAACCAGCTGTGTGTTTTATGTCCCTGAAAGAAAGTATGAGTGAATTTTTGAGTATTTCATGAGACAGCCGGAGTGTGGGTCACTTGAAAGAGCATGTGTAAATAATCTCAAGTCCAGTGGTTAGTGATTGTACGGGGGTATGTGTGTGTTCTTAATCAAATATTTGCATGTTTCAGTGCACTTATTTGAGCATTGTTCTTAAACAACCTGTGCAATATAGAACCTGTGGATATACAGGTGAGACTGGGTACCCTTGTGGTGTGGAATAAGTGTCATTGTTCAGGATGGACATTTCCATGCACCTCTACCCCTCTCCCACAAGGTGGCACACTGCTCATATGGGAGAAGCAACAATTATGTGGCATGCAGTGTCATTGTTCACCTTATATCATTCCTTAGTGGCTCACTTCAGAAGTCATTACATCACGCAGCGATCATCTCCGCTAATCAGCACATTCTGTTTTGATTTGTTTCTTTTAACCATAAGATGCCATAATATAATTGCTGACAAATGCATGGTGGGGGGAACACTAGGTGGAAGAAATGTTTTGTGTCATGTTTCCTAATGAATTCATGCCTTGTTTGTGCAGTGAGAGTGATGAACTGACCCCTGGGGGGGGGCCACAAAACACAAATCTCACTCAGTCCTTAATTGCGCCCTGCACTTGAAGGCCAAAGCTGGCTTTGGCAAATAAGCTCATTTCAGCACGGAGAGCTGACAATGAGTAATGTCTCTTTCCGCCAAAGAACCGCCCTCACAACACAATTTCAATTACAGAGCCGCGCGCTTCTCGCTTCTCCGCCAACAGAGGCAAGCGCCGTCTGGCTAAGAGATACAGATGCCTGCTGAGTTGTCAGGACCTGATCCACACTGACCCCCTCCGCAGCTTCCAAAGCCAAACCAGTAGCAAAATTCAGCTGCCCTTTGTACATTCCCCTGGCCCCTCCTCCGCAACTACGAAGGACATGATGAGCTGTCACCGGTACATACAAGCTCATCCTACCACATTTTCCAGTACAGTTTCCTCCCTTGTTCATGCCCTCATTCCCTGGTCATTTCATGTCCACCTGAGCCTCCTGGGGTAACTGTCCAGCGTCTAGGTGGTCGGCGATGTAGGCAGACAGGTGGCGATCTGTGGTGTGCAGAGACTCCTGGATGAGACGCAAGGCCTTGTCATGCTCCTGAGCAGACTGAATACTCATCTCCAGGCACTTCTGCCTCTGCGCCGCCTGCAACAACAAAATCGCACAAGATCTCCCACAAAAGAAAGCAAGGGAGTTGATTGTGAAGCTGTACTGTATGCGCCACTCCAACACTGCTGTCCCTTTATGTGACGGAGTGACACCAGCACTACGCCATTAATTGCTGCAAACTCGAAGCTTAGCTACATCATTACAGTTGTGCCAGCACTGGTACCTGGTTCTTTAGTAATCCCCAAGCTATTTATGTGCCTCCATTGTCTTTCGATATACAGCACCAGATGGTTCACCACAGAAACTTTACTTAAGGGGATGTTCCGGCATTCCAGGAACCTAATCATATCACATCTGAGTGGACTTACCAATATATGTCAGGACCTGTCGTATAAAATCTAGAATCCAGATGTCAACAGGGGTGAGAGAATTAAATTACCACCCCCAAGATTGTGGTGGCATGGATATGAGCACTCAGTACCTTTAATGTTCTCCTTTTCCACTCCCTATGTGATACATTATCAGAATATCCTAAGGAATACATCTCTGCTACCTTCCTGTTTATTTAGATACATGTTCATGCATACACATGGATAACATTAGGATGGTTTATCATATTTCTATGTACTGCAGCAGAGATGGATTGCATCTCCAGTCTTACAGCCTAGTCTGCCTTAAGCCATATTGCCGCTCATTCCCCTTACCCTTTCCATCAGCTCGTCCCATCGTGTGTTAAATGCTTCTAGCTTTTGGTTGATTAGCTCATCCAAGACACCCCCATCCATCAGGGTCTGGGCCAGCTCGCGGATCTGGTTCCGATTGTCCTCTGGGTGGCGAAGCAAGCTCTCTAAAGACTGAGTGGGATAAAAAGAGGGTTAGGAGAGTTAGAGTTAAGGGGCACAGCTGAGACAATTTGTCAGAAAAGCAAGGCCTGTAAGTGGGCACAAAAAATCCATATGGGAACATTTATTGTTTTGTATTAGGGCGCATGGGTTTGTAGAGAAATGCACCATAGTCTGCATGGGACCATAGCAGAGTCACTAGGGATTTTAGAATAGCTTAAGCAAAGGGGAACAGAAGGTCAGTGTCATAGCATCAGTATAGCGTTGGATGACGGCAAACTAGATCCAGTGCTTTGAATGCTCTACAGAGTAACATCTAAATGGAGTAGAAGCAACGGTACACCGAAGAATAGCAGGTTATATTTTTAGTACAGTTGTCCTTAATATGTGGGTAGTTGGTATTTGGGGAATAATAGTTTTAATACTGGGATACAGCAACCCCAGCTGGAGTAATAAACTAGGTTGCAGTGTTAGAGGAGGCTAACATCAAGAGCTTCAGAGATCTCCTCAGCTCCTCCATGGATGCTCTCTGTCTCATTCAGCTTATTCTCAAGCTGGTCCAGCCAGCCATTCTCCAGGCCCAGATAGGACAACAGCTCACACCAGCATGACCAGACCTCCTGCAAGTGGTGAAGGAAAAAAAAAAACCAAGCAATCATTTTTATGAGGCAGCCTACAAGTTCCACTCACTAATGGTCACTGCCAATCTCTCACAAATAAGCAATGTGGGTGACAGCTGTGACAAGGACCGATAACTACAGTGAGGAAAAAACCACACAAAGATGAGGAGAAAGAGGTCAAACGTCACGGCTACCTCTAAAGTCTTGCACTTCCCATCAAGCCGACTGCAAAGCCGCTGGTAGTTTGTCGTTAGGATGTTGAGTTCAGTCTTCAAAGCCTCATGGGCCACAGGAGGTGCCTTGGCGATAAAGCTGTTCACCGAGTCAGTCAACATTTTCACCTTCACCTCCTTCTGATGGACCTCTTCCTGGGCCCTCTGAGACATTGACAGAAAGCAGAGAAGGAGTCACCAAGTCTGAGATGAAACAGACACCACATGTAAACAATTACAAAACTGACATTTGCCATCCATATCACAATTGATAGGGCTACTATGTCAAGCCTGAAATTCAAGTGCTGCAGGGCTTTGCCACTAAAATAACAGGCTGCAATCAAATACCACCAGTGATATTTCCCTGTTTTCTGACTGATACAGTCAACTTTTTTTTCCTTCAAAAATTCTTATTTACCAAAATCATATCAAGAGATCAAATTAAGTCATGCTTACTTAATACAGTAATGTTTGAATCACCCCTATAGGTCATGAGCTGGAGGTTAAAGTTGAAGTTCCACAGACCTTTATCTCCTCGACACCTTTGCGCAGCTCCTCTGGAGTTTTGTACTGAAAGTCCCGCTCTAGAAACTCCTCTTCGGCCTGCGTGATCCACTCCTGCATCTCTGATAGGTCCTTACGCAGGCTCACCGTTTTGTCCAGCCCACCCTTCAGGGCTGACTTCTTTGCATAAGCCTGGAAGACACAGCATATTCATCCACAGGAGCAGGCAGACACATCACAGTCAGAAATAAATGTAAGGCGGAAACCAAAACGAAACAATAAAATGAGCAACCTGTTTACAAATGTTCTCCCATTGAGCATTCAGCTGAGTAATCTCCTCCTGTAGCTTGCTAGCAAACACAGGCTCTGCCTCCTTCTTCAGCGCATGGCCCACTTCATTAATGCCATTCACGCTGGGCTGGATGGTGTTGATGTCATTCACCAGGGCCTAAGGCAAGTAGGATACGGCATCCACAATTACACTGGGGCAATGAATGCTTATATATCAACAGACGGTGCAGGCCAGAGGTAAACTGCACAGACACGTAAGAAGACAGGTGATCAAGAGGGACATGAGGCATTAATTTCTGTCTACAAACTCTCCCTAACCCTCCTACCGTGCACTGCTCCAGCTGTTTCTCCAGGGCTTCTGAGTCACCCAGTGCTGGCCACTCCTCATTCAGGAACACATCCACCTCCACCATCCACTTCCTCAGGGTCTTTGTGTCATTCTGAAGAGTGAATGATGGCAGATGGGTCAATATGAGCGACTAAGTCCATCCCATCCAAACATCTGTGTGACTCAGACTCGGGCCAGCACACTGATGTCATCATCCTACCCTGTTTATCTACACTCTACCTGACCTTTACCTGTGCTGCACTGCAGAGATAGGATTATGCTCTGCACTGCAGAGATAAGAAAAGACAATTGAGAGGATAGAAGAATATAAAAAAATCTGTCAACTTTGTTATAAATCAAACCAAAGATAGGGCAAGTATTTTCATACAATAAATACATGAGAGTGCAGTTTCTTTTAGGGACATTTTTAAATTTAAAAGAAAAACTTTTAGAAAATGACTTGGTACTATCATTAATACACTGCCATTAATTCAGACAGTAGTTTGTTCACACTTAAAGTATAACTACATTAAATGCTTTTAATTAAAAATTAGGCTACTCCAGATGCACAAAGTATTGGAAACATTCTCATTACCTACAGATTCCTTCCCACCTGTAAAACTTGAAGGCATCATGCAGGCACTTTCCCAGACTGAAATAAATCTCTGTGCTGCTCTTAACATTTCATCCCGAGTAATATCAGACTTATCCTCACCACTACACCTCACCCACACTATAGAGTAGTCCAGGTTCTACTACAACTTTCTTTTAATTGCTGTTACCCCAGGCCATGAGATCAGTCAGCTCACTCATTGTTTTAATTTAATGTGCTATTTAAGTTCCCCTTTCCTACTCAACATTGCTAATTCCATTGGTCCCTAGTCCCACACTGTACCCATTTGAAATAAAAACAGGAACTACCTCAGAACTTTGATTTCTCCTTTGTATCTACGCACTTTCCAAAACTTTATGCAGTACACCATGTATTTCCTTCTGTCCATCCATCCCCTAAGGGACCTAGCAGTCCAATACTCCATTCAGATTTCATCATGCTGGGACAAAGTTCCTGTCTCAGACAGAGCAGTGAGCTCCCTCACCAGTGACCCAACACTGCTGGTCACAAATACATCCACCTGTCTTTTGCACACATTTCTTCACATCTACAACAATTATTATGGACTTCATTATACTTCTTGGTTCACTAAGATCATTTTGAATTGTAGGTTGGGCTTTTAGAATTTTAGAATATGTTGTGCTTGCCAAAGGTATGGATAAGAGGTGGCAGAGATTAAATAACTGAAATTATGCGTTATTTAATCTGAACAAGAGCATCAGCTAAATGAAGATAAATAATATAAGCCATTAAATTGCTGGGCAAAGTTAGTGGTGTTTTAAACTTGCTTGTACTCACTGGGCCATTATTTTATGGCAACTATCTTAAATATATCTCACCAATAATACAAACAGGGAAATATGAACACTGTCCATTGATACCTGGAATTGCTGCAGTTTGGCCATCAGCTCCTGCAGCCTCTGTATCTGCTCTTCCAGTTGCGTGGACATTCTCTTCCAACGCATCATGATGGCATCCAGCTCCATGCGGTACTTCTGGCTAATTTCATATGGCGCCTTTTGACACACCTGCTCCACGGTGACAGTGAGGTAGTCCAGACTGCTCTGGTGCTCCTGCAGTGACACTTGGAGAGCCTGCCAAGAGGCACAGATACAAGAGGCATTAAGACGAAGGATTCAGCACAGAGCAGCACAGACATTGGATAAAAACAGCGATACACAGGCAAGGGATACCAAGATCACGCAGACGCAAAGAGTAAGGCAGAGCTCTGCATTAGCTTTTCATAATCGCGACAGTGTACCCATCAAAAACAGCAGACAGACAGACCTTCCTCCGGGCTTCTCAGTCTCAGACAGATTCCTATAAGAGCCTGAGACAGACCAATCCACAGAGATTGCTCCTCATAGACAAACCTTCATGTCTTTGAGTCTCTGCTCCATGATGGGATACTCATTGACAGCAGTGGAGGGAACAGGCAGCTGAGCCTCACATTGTTGTAGCCAAGCGAAGAGGGAAGTGGCAGTATCCCTGTACCGCACTGGAGGCAGGCTATCCTGGACTGGAGAAGGAGATGGTAAAAGACGTTAGCATAAGTTGGCATTTGGTCAACTGTCATGAAGTATTACACATGTAATAATAAAGTCCAAAAAGATATGAGACAAATGGAGTTTCATTCATCTAACCATCTTCCAGCCACTCATCTAGGGTAGTGGGTTGGGGAGTGGGTGGGGCTAGGGACTAGATACTATCCCAGGCAGCACAGGGTATGAGGCACAGGTACACCATGGATGGGAGCACCAGCCCATCACAGAGACCATGCCGCACTCTTCAGCACCCATACAAATACTGACCACAGCCTCACTCTTCATGATCAGGCAAAAAAGCAGCTGCCCTTCCACTGAATCTACTGACAGACTATTCCCTACTGGCTCTATAAATTACTGAGGAAAAAATATACTGACACAAACAGTTATGATATTTTGAATAAAAAGCCAAGCAAAAGAAACTAGAATAAACTAAAGCAATAATAATAGCACAGTGAAAGCCTCGGTAAGGCTGTTGCTGTATTTTACACCTTAAAAACAAGGCCTCAAACCATATCTGGCAGGAAGTTACATTTTCCTTTTTGGTGATTACTTACCTAAACTTCAGAAATACAAAACACAATGCTCCCACTTTCTGTTCCTCGCTTAAAGCATTGGCAATGACCAGTTTCTTATTATCTTTAGACAACAGATGTTACAGATGAATTGATTGCCAATATAAGACGAAATGGATGAAAAGAGAATTAAAGTCACAGAAATCAAATAACCTTGTAATAATCCAAGATGCCTACAAGATATTAGCTGTATACAAATTCTTAACTGCAGCCAAGCAGATCACTCTTATAAACTCAGAGAGCAGTCCACAAAATGGCAAACACAAAGGTAAACCCTCCCCTCACGTGACATCTACACCAACCATCAAGCCCTGACCTTCTCTCTTCTCCTCCCCCCAGTGAGGGATAAATAAAGACCTCAGTCATCACTCTTCATTACCATCAGCTCCTCAATGCCCCAAACTTTATACTGGGGCAAATACATGTCAAAAACAAACACATTGTCAAGGTCAAAATCACACACGCCAACACAGACTCTAAAATACTACAAAATATGTGCACACACTCACAGACCTATCCACATGCCAAAACACACCTCAAATCACAGGAATACATACATACACAGAAACACACATACCCTAACATACAGGAGAAATACCACAAGCCCACCATAAAATGGCTATAAACCTTTAATACTGACATTTATATAGAAAAATGAACACAAGAACTTCAGTAGATGAATCTACCACTAGGTCTTGAAACAAACCCTAACGACCCTGAAAGTGAAGTTCACATGGAAGTAGGATGTGCAGCATTTATCAATGTCTCTTTAAGGAAGAGAGAAACAAGTGCTTGTGTCCTATGAGTCTCTGAGCTAACTTAAGTCAAGCAAGCACCTCGTGAAGCCTAATCTTGTAATCTGGACCATTCTCATTCTGCCACCACAGTGATGATTTTTTTTGCATTGTGAGCAAACTGCTGCTCCTGCTGTTCCTCCCTAATAGATTACCTTCTTCGTATTGCCTAGCAGTTGTACAGTGGTTAAGGACAAGGACATGTAACCAAAGCTTACTAGTTGATGTCCCAGTAGGCTCTTTGAGGAAGGTGTTTAATCTGCATCATTCCAGTATAAAAGGGGTGAAACTGTACATTACTATAGATTGAAGGTTTCGGCCAAGCAATGGAATGCAATATTCACCTTTCAACCATTTTGTTTTTCTGGCACTTTGCTCATTGAATTTCAGCAGCAGTGCGGTAGATGACATAGAGACCCTGGGGTCTACTCACTGAGCTGAAGCTGGCTCAGGCGTGCCTGCAGGTCAGCCAGCACCTGTTTGTAGTGGTCGGTCAACGCTTTGATGTCGGCATCGAAGAACACCGGAGCCTCCTCTTTCTCCCGTAGGTCCTTCACCTGCTCCTTCAGCTGATTCACCTGCGGCTGCAGGGCGGACAAACGAGCTACCTCATCCTTGGGAGCACAAGAAGGCAAGAGAGAAGAAGGGAGGGGAGGAGGAAGTTACAGAGAGAGAGAACACAGAAAAGTACCATGAGAGCATTCATTACGGTAGGAGAAAAAAACAAAGCCAACACCGACAAACTAATTACAATTTAGAGAAACAACCTATTGCCTAAAGAGGCAACGAGGTGTAAAGTTCACTCACAGAGAAAGATATTAGTTAATGATATGATCCAATTGGTGTATAAAACATACAAACAGGCATTTCCAAGAGCTGCCTAACTCTAGAGACTTTCCAAAATAAAGTGCCTTTGCCCAAACTTTCCAGGTCTGACCTACACCTAAAAGCAGTCTTATCTTTTTTGAGAAGGACAAGAGCTATTGTTCAGTTAATTGGTCCAGAGGGATGGAATTATCAATACTATCCCCACTGTCTGGTAATCATGGTTAATAGGAAAAAGGAGAGTAAATGCGTGAGTCGGTGTGCCTTCTTATCAGCATGTGGGCCTTTCTTCACCATTGTTTAATTAGCTTCATTTCCAATTTGATTAGAGTTTGCGAATCTACTCACACAAAACTGAGACTATTATACCTTTGCCTTAACTGTTTTTTAGGCTGAACATTTCCCTCTGAAACACCCACCAATACAGGCTTTATTTCCTGTAATTTTTGCTATAGTGAAATTAGGACATTGGGCAAGTATTGAACAGTTTCTGCATAATATACCAGTCACCCTGTCCTGACCAGTCTAAATTTCTTAATCAAGATCAACATGCATAAAAACTTTGTTAAACTGAGAACATCACACACATCATTCATTTTAAATCTCCAGATTGCAGCTTTGGGGCATTCAGAGATACTTTTACAGCTCTCCCATGCCCAACATCTGTTCCATTTACCACTGAGAAAACCCCAGGCTTTCGGAAGCTTAATGACATACATAAAACTCTATAGAAAATGTACCAGTATAGTGATGGCCAGGCACACCTAGTAACAAATCCATGACAGACAATGATGCGGACGGACACACAGACAGTATAGCAGAATCCTGACAGAGCACCTCTCACCTTGCAGCGATCCACCTGGATCCTTAAGGGCTCCAGCTCAGATGCAGGTGGCTGCTGCACCTTCAGCCAGTTCTCAGCAGTAACAACAGCCTGCTCCAGTTGCTGGAACTGGTTGTAGAAGGCCAGCACCTTGGTCTGGTAGGCCAGCCATGCCAGCCTCTCGTCCAGTAGTGCACAGAACTCCACCCAGCGGCTGTTCAGCTGATCTGCAGCCTGCTTGATATCATCCGCCTTCAGGCCCTCTACAGGGAACAACTCAGAATAACTAGACCACCCATCTTTCAATAGCAACATACAGTAGGTGGATCAGTAGGTGATATAGGAAATGTCACAGCAAGTAAACCAAGAAGGAATACAACACAGAATATATGGACTGACTTTCTAAAAGAAATAAAGATAAATATACATAATGGCATAAAAACCAGATTTGGTGATACTGAAGGACACAAGAAGTATTATGGGGACAACATCTGAGACTGAGACAAGGGTAACCATAGAAACCATCAGAGGACAGGCACTTGGGTTGCCATGGGTACAGAGAGGAGGTGTGTTTACCGCTGGCCAGCTGATCCACCACAGCCTGTGCTGAACGAGTGGCTTCCAGCAGCTTCCTCATCTTCTCCGGCTTTTCCCGCTCTATCGCCTGGGAGGAAGAATAAAGGAGGAGGAGAAAGAGAGAAAGAGAGGAGGAGAGAGGAAGTAGAAGTACTAAAGGACTTGTATAAAAAATAACAGTTAGATTGCTTTGCTGGATTGATCAATTGAGTGATTAAATAACTAATTATGACTGATTTTTTTGCATTTTATATCCTTCTATACAAGTATAGTAGTGAATGTCATTTTGAATATGATAATGTCTAAAGTATAATAAATGTATGGATGTCTGTGTCAGGAATTTATGGCATAATTATGCAGATGCTCTGGGTATAATGGTGCATGGCTGATTGTGAAGAATAAAAAGCAGAATGAAGCACATGTATAAATGTATGAATGTATGTGTCAGGTACACGAAGCAGAACGATGCAGGTGTGTGGCTGTGTGGCAGCGTGGGGTGGGGATTACCAGCACTTTCTCCTGTAACTCAGACACACTGCCCTCTTTGCGTGAGAACGAGAACTCGGGGCTCTGCAGAATGGCCTCGGATCTCGTCATGAAGCTGTGCAGCTCCGTGAAGTCGACGTCGAACCTGGATTGTCCGGAGTAACAACACAGGACTGGTTCAAATGACTCCTGCAGTGACTTCATTTAAGATCATCATATTTCATCAGCCTGAAATCTAAATTTCACCAAGCAGCATGTATACAACACTACGCATTTTTTTTTCAGGCAACATCAGACCTTGATAATCTTATAATAGTGGTGGCCTCAATATTTTTTTTCTGCTGCAAAACACAAATGTAAGGCAATGCCAACCCTCCCACCTCATGAACATGTGAGTCCTGATAATGCGCTTGATCTTTCGTGCCCCTGTGCTCAGCTTCAGACTCGTTAAGTCCCCCACCTGGCACTAATAGATTCTCCTCACTGCCGAGGGTGCAGCTGACCCAGCCGGAGCCCACCTGTGGGTAGGCTCACCTTTTCCGGAGCTCAGAGTCCACCACAATCTGCCTCTTCTTCTGAGGTAGTGGAGGGGCCACCTCCTCCTTTGTATGCGTCACCACCACCTGCCCCCGCGTGGTCACTTTCGTCACGGACGACATGACCGTGGTCTTCATCAGCTCCGTCTGTGCCGTGGTAACTGACATTGAAATCTGAAGGAGACACCAGCAAGAGTTGGAGCATCTGCTGAAATCTGTGCAATTAAAAAGGAAGCAGCTTATCAAATGAAGACTCTTGGTCTCAAAGACAATGGAATGAAGGGCATTGTATGTAAGTGTGACAGCATGTAGGTTGCTCACATCAGGCTAGGAGTCTTCCTGTGCAAGGCATTCCATAAACAAGTAAACAGTCTAATCATCAAGTGCCACTAGGAAACAGAAAAATCCATAGTGCACAAATCCTGTGGGTTGACCTGTGAACTGCTTTTCTCCAGTTTCTGAAGCAGGCTCTCCCAGCGCTGGGTGAGGTTCTCCAGCCGCGCCTCCAGCTTACGGGCCAGGTCTTTGTTCTTCACACTGGACAGCAGGTCCTGGCTGAGGGAGCACAGTCTGTCCATCGTCTGCCTCTTTGCCTCCAGTTCCCCCTTCACAATCTAAAAGATAAGGGGCGCCAGTGAGCACCTATTTACTACAGGTGAACACAACCACAGCAAAGTCCCTCCACATTTCATTCATCTACCACATTTCTCAAAATACATTACATTCATTGATTGCTTCATCTATGTTATAAAAGCTCAGTAATGGCCAGGCTCTCGTTCCAGCATTTCCTGTAATTCAGTTCAAGGCTCCTAAAATGGCTAAATCTACCCCACACCATAAAATTTACAGCAAGCAATCTTAACCCATCAAGACCCTTCACTCCTATAAAGTTCCCCTAGGCTGACTCAAGCTATCCCCAAACTCCATCACTCACTATGGCCTCACTGATGACATAAGAGTCACCGGAGGCAGCCTCACTCACCGCAAGCTTCCTCAGACTCTCCACCATCCCACTTTGCTCCTTAAGGCCACTGCATTGAATGGTGTGGACAAACTCCTCCTTCTCAACCAGCCAGGTGTCAAATGAACACTGTGTGTGACAGACATAGAGAGAGAGGCATGGATTTCAGGGACATTATACATGACTGCCTGAGAACTATAGGATACAGAAGAACCTAAGACATAAACAAAGGAGATCACTATACATTTACCACTATTGTTTAATGATGGGACCGGAACCATAAAACAAAACCAATTATTAATCACATTTAATAGCCAGCACTGCCAATGCATGTATTCACTGAATATTCTGTTAGTAGCTATTTTTTTTTCTCCCACTGAATATTGAACACTACCATTTCGTTTGGCTTGCCGTAAAACACTGTCCAGTTGTAGACGAGGGGCGCCACAAAGCACAAATCCAGAGATTTTGATTGCAAAGAAACAAAAATGATCTAAAAGAAACAGACAGTTGGTGGGATTTGACCCCAACTTCAGAGCTAACCTAGTGAACGCCAGACTGAAAGCAGCATTGAATTAGCATGTTATGTGCGTCCTAATGCTGCTGTGCTGACACTGATGACATATCTAATAACTCCAGGGGATTTAAGAGGAGTCTGGCACTTTAAAAAATACAACATTGGCTGATGAAGATGAATGAGAATGAAATATAAACGTGAAATGCATTGAGCTAGAAGAAAAATTGATAATTTAGAAACTAAATGAAGCAAGAAAATTGTTTCTATCAGGAAAAAGTTTGTGGTCTTCACCTACATACATTTTTAGGTAGCTCCACTTATGTAAATGTAGTAGCATGCACAAATTAAAATTCTCTATTACACAGATACCACTTATCATTCTTCTTCAAATATGACAAGAACCTATACTGCACTAAGAGTTTATTAAGTCACCTCAGGCACACTGAAGTACATAAGAGGCACTCTGCTTTATGCAATAGAAACTTAGGCCACACAGTCACACTAAAACCCATGAGTCTGACTAAAAGTGCCTCAGGGAAAATTAAACTGGCTGTAAATGCAAACCATGAGGCACCATGACTCTGGTTCCATTATCAGGAGGCTATAAAAAATGCATACTAATTTAGCGAGAGACATACTGAAAGATACAAGCAAAAAAAGAAAATGTGATGCATAAATCTTAAGCAGGGTTGGGTCGCATCAAAAAAAAAAAAATAATAATCACCTTGAGGACAGTATCAATTAGTTATACTTAGTCTACTAATAATAGCACAATAACTCAATCAGAATATCCATTTTAATATTTTATAAATAAATTATTGTGAATTATCTAGTATATTTACTAAATTCAATTTATATGTAACCTATGCTATTCACTTAAGAAACTAATAACTACCACAGTACAGCAGCAGGATCCCATATTAGTTAACAGCATAAAGAATCCATGAATGTCTGGCTAATTCAACAGAGGCCGGCGCTAAGTCACATGCCTTTTCAGGGTGAGCTGTTTAAGTTTAAGAGTATACAAGGGAAGATGTGACGTAAGGGCAGGTTGATGCTTTTTCCATATCGAACTTGAGATAATATAATATGTATCACACGCATCATATCCCAAACTAAGTCGAAAGAAGTCTCCTAGGATGTGTTCACAATGGAGTAGGGTGAAGAGTGAAACCCATCTAGTCATTACTATCTGTTTGCAAGAGAAATTCTATAATAATAAGCATGATGATTATAATTAACAATAATTATTTTTTATAACTGGTTTTTCAAAGACTCGCAAGTATAAAATCTATTTTAAATAACTAGGTATTGAGGTGTTGTTGTCAGGGCAAATGCACTTACTGTAAGTCAGACTTGGTTTATACTGTTAAATCATTAATTATAATATATTTTACAATTAAGTATACCTTGTATATGGAAAATGACTGCTTATTAATTTAACATCAAATAATACATACAAGATAATACTAATAAAATCTGCATCATGCATATAGTGCAGAACAGACTACATATATTAAGGACAAAAAATAATACCACAATATTCAGCCCCATGGTGACATGTATGAAATTCCTCACTGAGACCTCAGGGTAACGCAGATCCCAATTTGAAAACACTGGTACTTTAACACACTGAGCTTTCATAGAGTGTCAGAGGATTTCATTTGAAAAACAAATTGATGTAATGGGCCATTTGTATGAGCCAGCACAGCTAATTTCTTAATGCAAGGAGTGCTACAAGGAGTGCTGAATTTTATGTTAAGAACAAGGGAACAGCTCCCAACTATGCAAATTTATTTGTGAGCGCGTATGAGAATGACATGGTAATCAGTCAAAGCAACTCGTGCTTTGGTTGTATTAAGCCCAGGCAGGTGGTATACAATAAATTGATGATATATTTTTTTTATCTTGGATGGTTGATTTGCTACTTTTTTATAACTCTTTAAATACATTGGAGAGCACATCTCTAAGATAACACACAAAACACTTCCAGGGTACTATAATAATCAGGAAAAACAATACGTTCAGGACTGATATACTTACCGCATAAAGCCAATGGAAAGAAATGACGTCCATTAAACAGTATTCTCATCAGCAGGATATCCAGCAAGCAGAGCTGGAAACATATATCATGTTTCTTCCAGTGCTTCCCATTACATAGAGAATTTGATACAATCATTAAGAGATGCTCATTAAGAACCCATCAGGCAAGACTACTTAGGTAAAGGGTGTGATTACACGCCCCGCCATCAGTGTCATATAATAAAAGCCCTTGCATTTAGGCCTAGGCAGAAAAAAACCAAATGATCTGAATGTGTCAAGTGCAGCAAAACAACAGCAGTGCCTTAGCCATAGGCTTCATGAAATCCTGCAGTAATGCCTCCACATTAAAACACCACGGGAACAGGCCTAGTGAAAATTCGGGACAGTGACAATTTACTCTCGTGTCACCAAACAATTTTTAGCTTTAAAATGGATACAGTGTCACCCTGTGGTCTTAAGACGAAATAAAACATAAAAGCCTTCTCATATAATGTAATGTGATTCCTGGGATAGGACGGAAAACACGACGATTTCGAGTAAGCCTGTAGTCATTGTAAAGACATTACAGATAATGCACATTATTGAAGGTTCCCCCTTTGTGAGTTGACTTGCCTGTTATTCACACTTAAGTTGTTTAGTTCATGCTTTCATCCAAAGCCATTTACAATTTCTTACACTTTATACAGTTACATATGTACGTATATACCTACAGTATGGCAGCAATTCGGTTTAGGTATCCTGTTCTATATTACAGAAACATCTCAGGTTATAGGTACGCATATTCCCTTATAACTTGCTGTACCCCTGCAATTCAGATGTGCATGCTTGCACTTAGGATGACTGAACTGATACAAATTATTTGGTATCAAAACGTTGTCAGTAAACACCATTCAAGTCTTTAAATGTTTTTCCGAATAATAATAAATGCAGTTAGAACTGCGATTTGTGTAGTTGGTCAGATACAGAAAAGACCCAAATCACTGGTACTGGTAAAAGTATCTTAATAAAAATATATATTAGACAAAGACAAGGCTCATATATGTGTTCAGATGTCTAGGACGGGCACAGAAATCTTATTTTGGAAAAGAAATTTAATTCTGCACTTGTGAAATCTGTCTGTATGTGTCAAAGGGTGGACAGATAAAGCTTTAGCAGTTTGTCAGGAAAGGTGATAATGTGCTTCCCGAATGGTAGCTGAGCACTCGGGTGAGCTCAGGAGATTTGAATTTATGTACATTTAAGATTTCTTCCATTTAGCCAGAACCGCAACAGACTGAAGATACTGCATACGTTTCCATAGCAGAGGTAATCAACACCGGCTTCCTTTAGAAAATGAAAAATCCCTAATTTTTCACCATTCTTCTTTTTCTTCAAAAAAATCCAGCTGTGTGATACTGCCATCAATATAAAAGAACAAAACAATCCTATTAAGTAAGCATTCAGATTATCTTAACTATAACTGCAACTGACGTGCATATGTGAAAATCTTTCCGAAAAGCATGCAATTGCACTTCATTCACTCTCCAATCAGGGACTGGAAATAAATATCTAATGCAGGAAACAGAAAATATATACAAAGTGAGAAAACGCCCTGCTGGGTAAACAGTAACATCCACCATTCTCTAGATGGACAAGGCTGGCTGTTGGCAGCCACACACAGTCATTTTGGAGTGTTTGGGAATTTTCTGAAATGCACTGAACAGCAAATTCTATCCATCATGCTCCATTCTTTTGAGTATCACGTCCAGTTCTTCCTACTGCAAACTAACAGAAGACAAATGGGAGTGGACCAACTAAACAGAAACAAAGTGTTTGTCTATTGACTATGCATCGATTAAGCAGAATTTTAGTCTGCAGCATCATTTGATCAGAAACATAAGGAGAGCGAGCCACTAATTTAAATTGTGAAAGAACAAAAATACATTAAGGGCACTGGCTCTCAAAATGTTTCTAAATTAGAAATGAAGGTCAGTCTATAAAGGGCAAAATAAATTAATTATGCTGCCACAGTTAATTGTAACATAGTATGGCAAATGTATTATTTATTACAATATATTTTCAGTCTACACTGACTTTTCAACTGGAAATCTGCCTTTTGAATCATAGGGTAAAATTTTCATTTTCAATAGCTCTAACTCATGATAATAAAGGATAACATTCTGAGGGATATCATTTAGGCCTAATGGATGCTGTTTCTAGAATAAATATGAGGAAACAAGCAGACTAGAAAATCAATATTTCAAAACAGCAGTGGTTTTAACAAGCATACATTTTATATGTTGTTTATTTCTTTCACCTAAATCCACCCCCCCCCCTCAAAAAAAGCCGAGATAATCCACAGAGCACACCTTTCTGGGGAACAAAACCTGTGGCAGTGATCTGATAAGTTAATACATCACTAGCACATAATGACCCAATGTGGTTCCAAACTGATCAAAGAACATATACTGTACCAATATACAGTGGTACCTCAGAACTCGAACTTAATCCACTCAGAACTCGGGTTCGAATCCTAAAAAGTTCGAGTATTGATCGAATTCTCCCCATAAGAAATAATGGAAAACCAATTAATTGGTTCCCGGCCCCCAAAAATTATACCTAAATATGTTTTTTTTTTTTTTAGCATTTAAACACAAAATGAACAGGGTAAAACAAGAAGAGCATATACTGTACTAAATACATCTAAGCACATTTATCAAAACAGTAATTTGTAAAGTAACAAGATAAATGCATCCAAACAATGTTTAAAGTTTAAAAAAAAAACAATGTGTCCTGCCCCAATCGTCTGCTCCTTCCGTGACACGCCCCCTCATTAACCTCATGTAGAATCCCCGTGTGATCATCTGTTTCTGCTTGTTGTCATTAGTCCTCTGTATGTAGTCTGCATTTCAGTTTGTTTCCCCAGTCCGGTCATTGTATTGTCCGTCTGCATTTGGCCTGCCTTGCCTGTAATTAAACTCCATAATCCCGATACCCTGACGTCTGCGCCTTTGTCTCCGTCCCGTCCCCGCTCGGCACAACAATATTAATATAATTAAATGTATTAATGGTTTATTATTAATGATATTAAAATAATTAATGATATCTTTATTTTTAAATGTATTTTATTATATAATAATAATTACTGTTACTGTCTATCATTGTCTAAATGTATTTTTACTGTCTAAATATATGTATTCAGCTAGTGTAAACATGCACGATGCTATCACAGCAAATGCGAGGCTGAGATTGAAGCGCTACCCTTTGTTTCCGCTGAGAGACATGCCATGTGACTCATTTCCCCACGCATACAAGTTATCTTAGGTCGGCGCTGACAGTTCGACTTCTAAGATTCAGATTGAGTTCTAGGTAATATTTTTCCGAATTGGTTGGTTCAACTTTTAAGAAGTTCTAATGAGTTTGAGTACTGAGGTACCACTGTATACCAATATGAGATATTTGTGTTTTAAAGCTCCATTTTAATTGGACGGTTTTCAACATATGACTATAATACACTTATATATAATGTTAACCTTTACTGCTCCCAGCTGGCCACTAGTGGCATTTATGGTATACAATTAAAAAGTAAAGATTACATAATAATGGGCAATGTGCAGGAATTCTATACCTTAAAAATATATTTAAATACACTGCATGTATTAAAGTGGCCAAAATACCAGTGCATTTTACATAATGCGCATTGTGTCATAAACATTTTTCCTGTCAAATTAGCATTTTGCACTACATTAGTTTTCATTGTAAAACATCAGAGAAATATCCCCTTATTATTCCAGATTGAATATGTAATTTAATTACTATTAGCTGTTCATAATAAGTAAATTGTTATTCAGCTAGGATGAAGATAACAAGCCAGAACGGGAAAACAGAAGCACCAGCTGATCATAATGGCAATGGTACCTTTTTACATAAATACCTTACCGTTAGGATTAAAGCTGAATTTTCTGCATCACAAACAAAGTACTTTAAATCATTCAAATTGAGACAAACCGCATTCCCTTTAGCAGAAAATTACAACAGGGTATGAAAAATTTAAGCGTGATTGTGTGTTTTTTAAAGATAGTTAAATATTCATTGCAGCTCTTTCCCGGTGAATCACGTACGGCACAGGGGAACGCTGTCTCAGGGACACAGACGCTTTGCGGACTGAGCCGGGGGGATAAGCTCACCTTATTTGACCACGTTTGGCCCAACTATACCTACCCGATTCTTGCTAAAGCACTGCCATAATAACTCGTGCTCCTCAGTGATGCGTGGCCCCGCATGCAGAGGGGCCACGATGACTCCTTGGGGACCCATTACCCCTATCAACCACAGAGGAAGAGGCAGAACTGCACCCACTTGCTCCTCGGTGAACTGCTGCCACTTCAGCAGGATCTCCTGAAGCAGGACCCAACGCTCCTCTGTCCATTTGCAGATCGCCGCCCATCTGTCCCCCAGGTGCTGCAGGAGGAGCATGTATATATGAGCATACCTGCTTACACGTGTGTTAGCCCACACACGTATACAGCAACATTACCCTACCTGGGTCTTTCTGAAAAACACCAACCTGCCCACTCTCCCTCCACACATCCAATACCCAGCTTTGCTTCAAGAACAACCCTTGTATGGTGCATTTAGGAAAGTGGTACAAAACAACCGAAAACCCAGTTAGCCCAGTTGTGCTGTGCATTTACCACACCCCGGAAACGCACATCTGTGCACATCTGCTGTCTGAGAGCTAAATTTGTTGAGCCTAAGTGAGATTTTCAGTCTGGAAAATTTCCCCAGGGAACTGAGGAACTGAAACTCTCAGTTCCTCATCTGTGTTGTCTTACACTAATTAACAATTCCTTTTACAGAGCATGTCATGATCATATTTATGCAATTATACATTTAATCAAGTTTAGTCAGCGAATCTAGTATGAATACAACTAACTAAATTTACAAAATTACAGAACCAAAGCAAAAATTGGAGAAAATAAAACATTAAAAAAACACAGAAGAAGATGGATGCTTATAGAGGGACTGCCAGGTGTTAACCGTTCAAGTGAATGAATCTATGGCCCTTGTAGAATAGCCATTTTTTGTAGATCACCTGATACTCTTGCAAGTAAAGCTGTATATATGATACATTCCTTTTCATTTTTTCATTGTTTGCATGATTAAAAGAAGAATAACACAAGACATTATCATGACATAATCATTCAATTTTTCAGTGCGCTTCCGTTATTTTATTCGTTCTTTGCCATTTGGTTGGAGCTGCTAGAGAGCAGCATCAGGCACATGCTTGAAGCGATTCACTTATTCACTTATTGTTCCTTCATGTGACTCATTATATTTCTCATCGTTTCACAAACATCTTTCAAGCATTTTACTTCCACACTTGACATCACATCAAATTACCCCTAAATGTTAAACAGAACATAACATTAAGCAGCAAAAAATTTTCCTTTTCCTTTATTTAAGTAATTGCATTGTCACCCAACTCTTTTTCACACAAGTAAACAGAAGCCTGCCACTAGAAGGATTATATGATTAATAATGCTCCTCTGCAAACACTTCTCATACATTATATTATGTTTAATATTATAATTTTATTCATGCACCAACCTATTCTTTTCAAGCAAAAGTTTTTGTATATAATATCCAGGGTCCCATACTGTACAAGTGGTTGAAAATAGATTAATAGATGAAAAAAGTAGATTTTAAACTATGAAACAGAACAAAAAACCATGTAGATTAGAATAGTAAAGAAAATAAATGATGTTATATGATAGATTGCTAGCTATGATGAAACAGAGCACTGGGAAGCGCTGGTGCCTCATTTGTGTGTTTGAATCCTACCTCTGCCTTGTGTTTGCAGTGACTGCATATTCTCTCAGTATTTTATAGGTTTCCTCTACACATGTAGTTAAGGTGACTTGTGTCTATTAATCGCCATGGGTGCGTATGTGCAGGATACTAATGATCCCTGTGCTGTACAGATTAGATTCCACATCATTGTCACTGTGCTAAGTACAAGTACAGACCTAATGAAATGGAGCTAGCATATAACCAGGCGCAAATTTGTGTGCAAAACTATACATGATAGTTTTCTGATTCTACAAGTATTCTGAGTCTGATGACAGGCTCCAAGCCCCCAACTCCAGTAAAACCTGACCAGGATAAGTGCTTAGAAGATGGATATAATGAAGTAACTGCGAGAAGACAAGTCATCAAATATGCATAGTTTTTTTTCTAATATAATGATTTTTTAAAATATCACAAAAAGATTCAGTGCTTTGATGACACTGAATAATTATTTTTTCTCCTGATGTGACCCTGGCATGCAAATTGCCTCCTTTATGAGCAACACTTTGCACAATCTGAAAGAAACAATGCTACCACTGACTCGAGCATCTCTTTGTCTGCTTTATACCTTCCTCTTTATTACAGAATGTTCTCTGATAGTGAAGGAGGCAGAATCAACAAAGTCTATGAATGATCAAACTTGGCCTCCACTCTCTGTATCATTAGCCCCCCCAGCATCCCCCACTTAGATTCGAAAGGCTATCAGTTAAATCAGCATAGAGGCTGATCATGCACCATCCATAGCAGCTGACTAACGCATTCAATTACTCCTCCACTCCCTTGACAGCTGTGAAACCCCTACACACTACGTCTACAGCGGGAACTCTCTCTCCGTAGTTGCAGAAAACCAAGAAACAGCAGACTCATCTCATCTTGTTTTCAGAAAACCACAATGTGGAAGAAGCATTCAGAGAAAAGAGGGGCTATGGGCCCTGGAATAATGTTCCTTCACTCTTTTGCAGGAACACGTCATTGAATCTCTGAGCGAGAAACACCAGTTCTTTCTCATTTAATCTGATTCAGAGAGGAAAATCAGCGCAGCCCATTATTGCAGCAGAAAGAGTTGGCAGTGCCTTTGTCATTAAAAAGCTGACTTTCTGTTTGTTTGTGTATACATACTTCAGGGCTTTTTGCGATTACGTCACCATGTCTGTCTGTCTCTAAGCCACAAAATTGTGTGGAAAATTAGAGTTTTCTTCATTCATTTTGTTTCTCAAAATTCACCTAAAAGAATGTCTCTTGGTCATTATTCTTTGGCTACAGCTACAGTTTAAATACGTTTTACTTTATATGGTTATATTGTTAATTTGGACTTCATCCTGTCAGTGTTTTTAGTGAGATATGCCAGTTCCTGAAGCTGCTAGTGGCAATCACCACACTTGCTGCATGCAACGCTTGCATTTCTGTATCTCTGTAATAATTTTCAGTTATTTACTATGTCGTTGCTGTTATGCATGCCTTCAGAGCGGTTGGCGATTGGTTAAACCTTAAATTGTGCAAAATAATCAATATCCACAAAGCACATCCTGAAATATTTAGATTGCCTGAAACCTCATGGTAAATGATATCATTTGCATGACTAGCTGACTACCACAGTTCACTCTACTCTAATATTGCTGCCGAAGAGAGATGTGTATAAAATACCTGGAAAAAAATATATTAAAAATACACACACACACACACACACACATATATATATTTGAAAATAACTGATTTTTATAGCACACTAATCATCAGTAGAAATTTGCTTGCCAATTGTTTTGAGGCTATAAGAACAAGAACTGCAAATTCTGTTTCTCGGACTAAATTGAGCTGCTCGCTCGACAGCTGCCATAACCCCGACGCTCCCAGCTACTCCCTGCAAAACGGGTCAGACATTTCTGTACATTTACACATGGGGATTATACTGCTGAAGTGCTTCATGGAAAATGCATCACAAATGCAAGTCATCTAGCTGCAAACTGGTCAATAACAACATATTTTTATTTATATAGGAAAACTTCATCACATTAAAATTTCATAAGCAGTTTTATTTTAAATGTTGGAAAATATGTCATTGTTATGCAGGTTCTTCAGTGAGAATATTAGTGTTGGCATTTACAATTGAGAAGTCAAACAGCTCCTATAGCAACTGGATGCTAAGGGCCTGGCTCAAAGACCCAACAGTGAAATCAGTCTGCCAACCCTGGGATTTGAACTGGCGACCCTCCGGTCACAGGCACAGTACGCTAATCTTCATCCCACTCTTAAACCTCACCTTAAAGCCATCTTAAAAGCCTCTTCTTAAATTCCTGAATGCATTTGAAAAAGATTGAGAAATAACACTTTGCAGCATTCCTTGGTGCTCACATTCCCGTGCCCTGTCAGGCTATCTGCTGATTTATTGCATGCCAGATTCAATGGTTGTTTGATGGCTGCTTATTCTGTGGGCGGTAAAGGCACAGACATCACATGTCAGTGTGTTTTACTACGCAGCAGGATAAGTGATCTTATGCTGTTGTGTAGACTATATCACCAAGTCGGGAGCAGCCTGTCAGCATGTTTGTGCCAGATTTGATTGTGACCACTCCAGCAAATCGTGCCACTGTTATAGAACAGTCACCCTCATCATTAGACCATCATGCCATCATTTCTGAACGGCACCATGCATCTGACCTTGCATTTACCTAAGCCAATGGCATACCTCTTACCTGCAGTTTTTCTTCCAAGGCTGCTGTGGCGCTGTCCCCATTGCTTTCATCTACTACCACCACCATGTGGGTTAACGAATTCACACGCACCTGCTCCATCTCAAGATCTTCTTGGAGAAGCTAACAGGTCAGGGAGTGACACAGTCAGAAGATATAAGATACAAGAACATTATAAGGGTAAAAGAATATTGTTACTCAAACAGGCAGGAAGATAGACAGGGAGGAACTGAGGCAACAAAGGACCCTGTACTTTATGCTCTTCAACTTGGTGCTTGATGTCCACCAGATCGGGCCCAAGTGGTTGCGCCTCCATCCGATTGATCCGCCCCTCAGTCAGCTCTAGCCAGTCCGTGAGCTGCTTGAGCTGTTGGTTCTGCAAGTCCATTAGCACCTCATGTAGCCTGAGGGAAAAGGAAAAAAATAAAAACAAAAAAAAAACAGTAAATCACTTCAAAGAATCCACCCACGCTAAACATCACAGCTTGAGAAGAAGAGCAGAACAAACAAAGGGGCCCAAAGAGGATGGCATACAATGCACAAAACTCACAGCCAAACAGCTGCACGGGGCTGCACAGATATGTGAGACTGTTGGTTTGTCTGAAATAAACTACACCTGTGACTAGACAATAAAAACACAAACAAACAGTACAAAACAGCCAAGGCACTCGACCCAGTCTTAAACTCATCTGCTGCAGTGTTGTATCCAGTCGTAATGGATGTAAAGGCTACTTGTGACTAATTGTGATGGCTGTGTCTTGGAGGGGTACCTGCTCTGTCTCTCCATGCTGGCCACACGCAGGTGCTCCCAGCGGGAGTTCAGCAGGTTCATCTGCTCCCGGATCTCGTTCTCCTCCTCCTCAGTTAAGCGACCCTCCGCCAGTAGCATGCTTCCCGACTGCAGCACCCTCCCTACGCTCCCCTGGTGTGACGTCAGCTCCACCATGTAGCCCTGCATGATGACACGCACCAGGCCTCATGACACACCCATAAAGCACAAGTGCACACATGAATGCAAGCTGTAATCTCAACGCGCATAATTACTCACAGCAAATATACCCATTACATACAGTACAGGCAGCACGTCACACAAGTATACAGGCCACAATATGGGCAAATTCTAATTTCATATAGAGATGATTCATTTGTAGCCTACAAGTCCATGACAGTTTATAATTTGTAGTCATGAAGAAAGAACTTTAAATTTAAGGCTTTACTGTAATGGCGAATTATTTAGTCTAAATTTAAATAATAGTCTGTCATTTGGTGAATGTTTTTTATCTAAATTGTGGCTTTCTGGAAAAATAAATCAATTTTATACACAGAAAGGCACATTAAAAACGTATTTACCTGGGAAATGCTCTGATTCAGAGCAATTTTTGAAGCTTTCCAGTAGCCATTAATCTAGCAGGAGATGTTAAACTAGTAAAGGCAATATTCATATTAATACTTCACTTTCTTTGTCTTTGGAGGCTAAAAGGACTTCACTGTGTTATATTTGATATCTGTTTGTTAAGCACCTTTATAAATCTGTTTCATTCATTAGAAAGTAATAACCAATTTAGCTGATTTATAGACGGCTGGAGACACATCTGGGAGAAAAGGAATTACAGTAAACATCTGTGACATTACCATCATTCTGAGCTTCCTATAAAATACGACTTGCTTAGCCCTTTTCCTTTTGACTGACAGTGCAGAGAACTTCTCTCCCGAACAAAAGAAAGATTCATTTTTTACAGCACTGCTTTTTATTATTATCACTTAAATTTACACTTTACTTATTTGTTAATAATTTTATTACTTTTTATTTATGATATATATTTATTTTTTTTAATTGTGAAAAATTGTGCATATTACCTATAACTATATATCATACAAGTGTGGCATAGGGGTACAGTGGTTAGCACTGTTACCTCTAGCACTTGGGTTTGAAGCAGTGACAGGGCTCCATGTGTGTGGAATTTGCATGCTCTCCCCATGGGATTTCCTCTGGGTACTCCGGTTTCCCCCCACAGTCCAAAAACATGGTGAGGTTAATTGGTGAGTTACCAAATTGTCCACAGGTGTGAATGGTGTGTCAGTGTGCCATGCGATGGGTTGGCGCCCCATCCTGGGTTGTTCCCTGCCTTCTGCTCATAGGCTCGGTACTCCCCTGCGGCCCTTAATAGGCCAAGTGGTTTCAGAAAATGTATAGATATACACAGTGTTGGGCATTTCAGGTACATATCCAGGCCAATCATCTGAGCATGAAAAGTAATAGTCACATAATACTCATCTGGTTAGTAGAAACAAAATTGTGGTCTGGATTTGTAAGAACATAAGAACATAAGAAATTTACAAACGAGAGGAGGCCATTCGGCCCATCAAGCTCGTTTGGGGAGAACTTAACTAATAGCTCAGAGTTGTTAAAATCTTATCTAGCTCTGATTTAAAGGAACCCAGGGTTTTAGCTTCCACTACACTAGCAGGAAGACTATTCCATACTCTAACTACACGCTGTGTAAAGAAGTGCTTCCTCTAATTTGTTTTAAAATGTTCTCCCGCTAATTTCCACTTATGGCCACGAGTTCTAGTATTTAGACTAATATTGAAATAGTCATTTGGCTGAACAGCATCCAGACCCGTTAGAATCTTATAGACCTGAATCATATCCCCCCTTAGTCTCCTTTGCTCAAGGCTAAACAGATTCAGTTCCGCTAACCTCTCCTCATAGCTTCAGGACCAACACTGGATATGCATCACACAAAACACTCAGTGTTTTAACTCCACATAACCTTTGTTTATTGAAAAGTATGTATATATTAATTGCTATAGAATGACTGTCAGTTACAAAAATTTATAGTTCATTATAGTTCATTTTAGACAAATCACTGGATGCAAGGAATGCTTTAACATGTGCTATGGACAAGGCTTCCCTTAGCTACAGAAATTCTGCTATGATGTCTGGCAGTAAAAAAACAGAAAAAAACAACAGATTACTGGTCACATTTCCAAAATATGTGGAGAAAAATTACAGAATTATTGCTGTATGTTTGCAGAATGTCTCAACATATCGTAATTGGAAAAGATATCTGTCATACATAAAATACATGTGAAATAAAATAGCTAGTAGACTGGTAAATTATTACACACTGGTAACTCTTAAAATTTTAATAATGAATGAAATAAATGCATGAAAACCATTCTTCGAAATTTTAATCCCTGTGCCCCTTGATCATTATAAGTGCACAAAGAGGACTAATGGAACCACTGATGAAGCAATGATGATCTTCTACTACTCCTCTTTAAGAACTTAAGCAAAACTTACAATCAATTAATGCTACTGAAACTGATAATCCTCCATACTATTAATGTTAAATACTGCAATCTGTATACCAGTATTCGTGTTTCAAATAAGAACATGCTGCTTTAGAAAAAGGTTAATACCAACTGTCAGGAAACTATGAAACAAGGCAATATTATGCCGCCTCTGAGTATCACAATGCAATGTGACTGCATTCACATGTCTGCGCTTGTGCTCAGTTAATTATGGAAAGTGTGTTCTCTAGAAATTATCAAAAGATAAATTTTGAATTTTAAAAGGACAATAAGAACATTTACCATCCATCTTGCATAACGCTTAAGTAGGATCATGGTGAATATCAATATTTTACTTGCACTGAGACTTTCACGTTCTAAAAACATATGAAAAACCTAAATACACTCAACATAACATATTTGTCAAGTATTACTGTTTATTGGCTAATATTACTTTCAATGCTACATCTGTATAAGCAATAGAGCAATTTTATAGCACTGGTAAGAAGTACAAGCCAATGACCTTTATCTGTTATACTGTATCATGTACTGTTTCCACCTTCTACATCACATTAAAAAATGTCAGGAGTTAATGCAAACATATTAAAATATTAAACATACTGAGGTACATTACAAGGTATAAATCAATGAAGCATACATTGTGATGCCTCTCTATGTTCCTGCATCCACATGAACTTCCTTAAAACGCTTACTGTACTTTAATCTCTTGCACTATTTCTTGCATTAATACATTAAAAACTACTCAAGGTTAAAGAAAAATCAACACAGAATGAAAGTAATGCGACACCACGGCTTACGAAACATAAAAGAGTTTAATAATAACTAATAAGGACAATTTAGTCCTTACTGGAGTCTGCCAGTCAGGATTCATAAGATTTTGTGTCGCATTAAATCCTCGCAAATCCTTCTTCCATTTATTGAAGTTTAAAATAAAATAAAACAATAGCTACTCTTCAAATGAGCTTCACTTCTGTGCTGTGAGTCTGCTACAATCATTGTCAATGTAATTCATCATCAGTTTCCTCTGAAAACCTAGTCATAGTGCAGTCTGCCAGCCTTAGTATAGCCCTGATTACTCTTTAATACACCCTGTTTAACACATTGCCAGCAGTTAGCATACTCCTCCTCAGCACTGAGCCCATCAAAGTACTACAAACCATAAAGATCCCTCTCACTGTTCATTATGTTTCTGTGCCATGTGCAGTCTTACAATTAAGGTTGGCATACTGAACAAGGGGCATTGCACTACCGTGTCCATTTCAAAGTTCTGATTACACATATCGGTCAGATCTCAAAGCAATATCAGATCAGAGGTCATTCTTAAACTAAACACAGTGAAACCCTTTAAATGTGTGGCGGTTAGACAACACTGTATAGAATATAGGTGTGGTGTGAATGTGGGATACTCAAGATACAGAATAGTACTCAAGATATTAGGAATTAATTACATTGTAAATTGTTATATACTGTGCACAGGGTGAAGTGGGCACAGGGTGAAGGTAAACTGGGACATATTTTTGATACTCTATATCTTCACACCTCTGTGGCATATTAACTTAAGCTCAGTTCTTGAGTTTTCAATAATACTTTCATGTTTTAATATTTACAATTAGGATCATATTTTCAAAGTGAGAGAGAATCTTATCCCGGTTTACCTATTTCTACCCTATAGTTGTTTCACCTCTGTAATCGTAGAGACCAATGTAACTCCCCTCATTGTGATTTTCCTTTGATGTGCCGTACAAAATTGCACAGAAAGGGCAAGTGTACAAAAATAACTAAGGAGTCAATGAAACAAACCAGAGTGTAAGATTCTTGTCACTTCTGCTGCATGACATGTAGCAAAAAAAATGTTCTACTTCCTGATTTTTACACAGTCATGTATCCATTTGCTGGTTAATTATCCTAAGGCACACTAGCAGATGGAGTGCAACAACACTTCCTTTTCTCTGCCACTGTACATTACATTCATTGTTCACTGGTGATGAAGAAGGACTGATACTCATTTAAAGTTATATTAAGATATAGGATCACTGTGTTGTGTACAGCTGCAGGGCTGTTGGTTTGATGCAGGTTTCTGATACATTTACTGCTGCATCTGTTTAAGTAAGTTTCATTCCATAATTAAAAGCATCACTACCCATGTGTATGACCTGCATATTTCAGTTCTAAAGTGTGGGTGTGTCTCACACTGTGGGTCTGTGATGTAAGATGGACTAGCAATCCATCCAGAGAGAACCCTGTACTGCCCTGTTCTTCCAGTGCAAACTTAATTGGATAAGCAGCCATAGACAATGGATCCAGATCATTGTTCTATAGTCACTGTCTGGCTATGCTACTATTGCTGACTCTAAGCCAAATAAGGGAAAGTTAGTTGAAAATGTATCATTAGTTTATTGATACCCTGCCAGGAACAACGGGAAAGCAAACTAGCATGAATCATAATAAATGTACTGTAGTTTACTGTAATAATTCCATAGCTGGCTTGTATTCTTCCAAACACAATAATACACTTCAAAAAACTTATTCTGTCAAGCTGTTTTCAGTCTTCATGGTTGCTGAGTCCATATAGAGTTAGTGTGAATTAAACAACTGTGCAATCCTACGAACTGCCGCATGGCCAATGCAGGAAACAGTTGGATACCTCCAATTAGATGATGGACATATTGTATGCTCTGCAGTCAAACATTAACATTAGCAAATCAGCTGTGTACACTTGCAAAACCAACTAATAGATTAAACTCATGGAGTGAAAAAGCAATACATATTACAAGCACCATCAATCCAAGAAAATGATTTAACATTTGGTAGGACTGAGCAATAAAAAATGATGTGATAACTATCAAAAATTGTTCAACAAAAAAGTTCAAGTGCCTCTACGAAAAGTAATTAATCAAGCAAAATGCTGATAACATGAAAAATCCTGCTGCAGTTCATATAGTTTATAATTTATATTTCAGTGGAAAACACTCATATGCAGCCTGATGTTCCAAACTTCGATTAAGCAGCATGTCAAATCAAAGGTTTTAAATTATTCAAAATATTTGTTACCTATCTTACAGCATCATTAAAGAGAGATATGAAAGATCTCACATGAACTGACATTTAGCCACAAAACAGCATTAAAAAAGTGTGAGTATCATCACTGAGCACGATAACAACTGAACACATGGTGCGTTTGGATACATGTGGGTGCACAGAAAAGCAGCATTTTTACTTGTCAAAGTATATTTGCTTTAGGGGACAGACAGCAGGGCAGGATGCCTTGCAATGAATCTTCATTTGCTTGTTATTGGGTTTACTGCACATCACAACAAGCAGGTTTTTGCAAATTAAGTTTTGATGTTCCCATTTGCTAAATGAGGCAAAATAAAAGAATGAAATTTGATGTTGATGATCAGATTTCTATCATTCACAAGTTTAATCAAAATATGGTTGTTTTGAGGCATATACAGTATACTGAAAAAGGATCCCCACTTTGCATACTCTGGTTTCTCCTGTCATACACAGTGCTGTATTCTTGGTGCGTGTTTAGAGACGCCCCCTTAGCTGGGAAAACCATTTTCATAGAAGGCTGGCACTTGTTTATCTTTAAAACATATTATCATAATTTATTAGTGCTTCTAGTGACTGCAGTTTATGGTGGGATTGTAATGTGTGTTGGTAACGTCACACGTTGCCAAACCTACCGGCATATTTCCGTTTGAAAAGCAAATATGACTGCCCTGAGACACACAGGAGAAGAGGTGCAGTTTTGTAAAAGCTCTTCATGCACAGTCGAGAGCTATATGCCTTTTGTGCATGTACAGTTTGATCCACTTCTAGGTGGTATCTTTCGCAGGGTTTGTTCCCTGCCTTGCCTCTGCTGTTCAAAAGCTAAGCCCTCCATGCTCATAGCTTACGTGCAGAACCTATTAATTATATGTGAGCAAAAAAACATGCCGGGCGTTTTTCAGACATTTGTATTGTATTTTGTATGCACACTTTTAAAAAACGCGGTATTTGACAAAATTATGTAGACACCTTTAAATGCAGTACTGTGCACAAATGTCATTATTGGAAATTACGTAAAATTATGTACAACTCCCAAAAGCCATTGGCATTATTAGCATTCATTCTGGAAAGATGCTGAACAATAAAGCAAATGCCAGCTACATGCCAATAAAACACGTCTAACTAAGAAGTATACGGATTTCTGAGCTTTCTGTATTTTGGATATGACAAATAGAAATGGAATTTTAGCAAGGAAATTAAAAAGGGAATTTTACAAATGTCATCTGTGAGGAGTTCAAGAGAAGTCAAAAAATGCAAGTAAATGTTAAGCCATCACCCTGGAGCAAGAGATTTCCACCAGGGTGCTTGTTCATCATGTGTCAGCAGCCTCTCCGCTTTCTATAAATGAAGTTATTACCACAATTCCTCTTTGTGTATAAGGCACTTACAATCCACAATTATCTGCTGTACCTAAGATAGCTATTTCCCAAATTTTTCTTGCAACTTCTTAAATGTATATCCCTTGCTCTCAGGTTGGGGTTCCTTACTGAGGTTGTTTGGTATGATATGGAACCTTACTCATAAAATTGGAGTGTACCCTTTAAATCTGGTTGTGGTCCAAACCCTTGGTGCTCTGCTTCTTGTATTTTGCTCTCCTAAGCCACTTGCATGGCACCTTACCTCATGGGTGTGGAATTGCTCCTTAACCACTTCCACTTGGTTGGAGATGGGGGACTGAGATTGCAGACTGTCTTCGGCAGAAAGCAGCCAGGTGAGAACTTCCTCCAGAGCAGTCTGGTACCTTTCTAGCTGCAGGTCCCGATGGGGGTTGGGACTACTGCTTGCCTCCTCCCCTTGGCTGTCTGGAGACTGAGGAAGGGGTTCCAGTGACTCATCGACATCCGCAGTACCTAAAAGCCTGTATTCGCTATAGCCTTCTATTAACAGACACACGTCATATTGTATTTATCATCTTGCTCAAATGCCATCATGGCATACAACATCAAAGACATGCACCTGTGAAGTAAAGCGTCGCCTCTTTTGTTCAGGTGACTTGACATAAGCTGCTTGAGTGTAGGCGTAACTTTTGTAGCGTGGTTTAGCAGTAGGGGAGGGGCTACGAACCCAACCCTGAGCCACATTCACTGTAATCTGGGAAAATGGGACAGGAGAGAAAGCTCAAAGACAAAGGAAAAATGACCCATATGTACAAAATCAGAGACATAGGGTGCACCTGAAATCACATTACTTGTTTGCTATGTAGTAGGTGAAATATAGTATGTGTAGTGAGCAATATGTCCGAATTCTCAATATGGATGAGGAAGTAGGCAAATGGTACCCGGATGACATATTACATTCTGCGAAATTCCAAAGTCTGCAAGATAGACGCTACACTATCCCACAAGAACACTGGAGCTGCAATCAGAGACGAAGAATGTCACTTGCCCAGAAATTTTTGTCAAGATGGTGGAGGGATTGCCGACTGTACAAATATAACTAGAAAACAATGCATAATATTTATTTTTTTTTGTTGATTTTTAACAGTTGTTACTTTTCACAGGGGTCAAGCTACATCATTGGTACCCATCTGGGTAAGGGAATGTGCGAAATGGTGACCACAGTATATCCAAGTGCATACAGTACGCACTACATTAACGGTCAAGTAGTAGGCTTCTAGCAATATTCAATACACACTGCATAAGTATGCAATTTTGGATACACCCATATATGTGCCAGAAAATCCTAATCTAAGAGCTGCTTCTTTTATTTATCAAGTTACATTGGGTTTGTATGCTTGGCCATGTATCATTACCATTTACAGTCCTCTATACATATGCCATCAATCCACATACCTACCATCATCCATCTTAGAACCAAAGGTGTAACATTATTCAGTGTATAGTTTCAGCTGTATAAACTATCCGCCAACATCCATCTTACAATCAAAGAGTCCATAATATCATCCACAATCTACCAACTGCCTGTATTTAGTTCAGAAACAAATCTGTAACACTGTGTAGCTTATAAAATATTAACCCTAACCACTCTTTATCCTCTTCGGGAGAAACAAAATTCAGAATGCCAATCTATACTGTACAAGCACTAAAAATCACACAACGGACTACAGTCTTCGTGTACTTATTTGAATAGCTTTTCTGATTTTAGGTTCTATTGTGTTCTGCATGTCTTGTTCCCATAATCTTACTGCACGTGTTACTGGTCACTCAGTGGAAATTTAGCCTAGCAGCTCTTGTACCTAAGTTGGGTTCTTGACAGCTACATGCTTGCGAGGTATGTCTTGTACGTCACCTTGGACAAAACGGTCCACTAATAAATAAGAAATGAGTGAAGTTATTCTACCAATAGTGTAACATCAGACAGCCTACTATGTACATTGGAAAAAGTAAAATCCATTTCCTTTATATAGGAACAGAAAGGCAGCAGCATTTCAAGCAAATGATTTTGTTCAAAACTCTTTTATCTTCATAAAAATGCCATTAATCAGAACTAGACATTTGCAGAATGCCTTTGCAGAATCCTATAGCTCTCACACAGCATGTTTTACTGTCTGCTTGTTGTGACTGGAAGTTCCTGAGTAGCACATCTGATATGGTCTCGCCACAAGCATGGGAGCATTTAAACTGGCCAGAGTCTCTCCATCATGCCTCTCAGCTGGACCTCCCAAAGATACTGACACGGGCCTCCCCTAGGTAGCCCTACCTTTCCTGCAACATCCCATGTGTTCTGACGTGTCAAAGGAGGATAGCTGACAAATTTCTAGGACCATCCTGTGAAGGTACTCCTCCTAAGCAACATGCTGAGCCAAGCCTTCTGCCATTGCGACTGGGAACTCAAGAGGCATGTAGCATAAATAACATAATCAGGTCGTGTGTGGGAGTGTTTAAGTGAGTGAGGGTATCTGAACTGAGACCAGCGTTAAGCACCTCCTAGGGACATGTCAGGCTATGCATTGCTGATTGCTTGCGGTGAGATAAATTTATGTAGTTTGCAGTGAGACAAACAGCCACTGGCTGACAGACTTGCTTATTGACCTGAGAGCAAAAACTCTGCCCTTGAGGGAGCTGAAGGCAGCAATTTGGATGGCTGAGTTTATGAGATAATTAACAATGACTAAATTTGGGTAACAAATGGAGAAGGCAGAGAAAAAATCAGTAATTATGCTAAATAACAAAAAAAAAACAGAGAGATACTGTATGAGGCAGGAGAAAGACTATGGCGATGCCTGAAGAGGTATTAGACACATGCATTGCAAATCCCTAAGAAGAACATGGCAGGAGTTCCACAGTAACATAGCGGAGAATGCAGTGCAACCGCAAAAGGTTCTAAAGGTTTTTGGAATGTTGTATAGGAGACTATTAGACTATTAGGTAGAGATTATGCAACATGTCACTAATGTCTGCCTGGACTGACCTGCTGGGAAAAGCGCTGCTTGCTCTGAACATGGTCTTCCAGAGCCATTGGGGCTGGTGGAAGCCTCTCCACCTCCCGGAGAGCCTCCATGGTGACACCATGTGGCAGCACTTGGAACAGCGAGGTGACATACATCAGAATGGACTTCTTGTCAGGATGTGTTGTGGCCACATCTGAAACAGAAGACAAAGAGCTGTATTTATTTTTTATATATTTTAGAAAGTACACAAAATCAGTCTCTTTACAAAGATGGAGAACTATGTTAAATTTGCATAATTTTCTTGATCTATACAACATATTACTTTTGTCATTCCAATAAGGCACACAAACTGTAAACACTGCATGGTTTGTGGAAAAGGAGAAGAGAGCCAGAGAGAATCAGCATGATGGTCATGTTGCTCTGTGTGCTATTTTTAACTCCCTTTTATTGCTCCTTTCTGGTGCATCAAGAACTGTAATAACCCATGGAGACAGGAAGCATTTTATTCATCATTAGTTCTGATGAGAGTTGATACACTTATGCATGTCTTCCCCTTCCTCACATACAAATGCAATGACTCGCAAATGCACATATGAAGAGATGCATGCACTTCCCCAATTTGCACTGATATGTATCTCTTATTTTTTTCCCCAAAACCTCATGCGTGCACACACAGGTATATTGCATCTCTGTTTATATCTCTATTCCTTTCTCCAACACAAACATTCATCCCATTTACACAGCTGAGCAGACAGAACCACAGTACCTCCTCTCTTGTTATGGGAGCATCTTAGTCATCCACAGTAAGAACTGGAACTTATAGTGTACTGTGAAAAATGATTTTACCTATAGGATATAAACAGACCTGGAGCACCATGCTTCTAAAAGTTACAAGTAAGAAAGTCATAGTACCAGCTCTTCTACTACATAACGGCTCAGCAGTTGCTTTCCTAAAGTAACTCCTCTGGGTATAAATCACTCCTATACTTACATGCAAACTAGTTACTTGCTTTGTGGCTAATAGAGCAAATAATTGTCTTTTTTGTTCCTGCTACAGACTCCTTCCCGTTTCACCATATTACAATGTCTTTCCAGCCAAGTCAACATTTGAATCTCTTCCCATGACATTCCTAGCTTCCTTCCTACATCCTTGAACACACTATACTTTATCCCTGCTGTTAGCCAACAACTGCTTAGCATGTTATAGTTTTCTCCCCACAGGCTGTCTCAGGACGAACTTTCAGTCCCAAACTTATGAACTCAACACTTTCCGTATAAATCTCTCACTTCATGGTCATCATCACTATTTAATCCAAATGTGTATGTATCCATTACACCCTAATTCAAAATCAATTACTAAATCAATTATTACTGCATATTACATCAAATCTTTAACTACACTCTTTCTATAGCCTAATAATATCACATACTATGGCCCAACTTCAATGTCACTACCAATAACATATCCTTCATCCAGCTCTTTCCATACAGCTCCTGACGTAAAAGGGTACAAGAATAATGGGTGGCAGGAAGGTAAATGGAGGGCAGATTAATGGATGCAGGAAGGTAAATGGAGGGCAGAGTAATGGGTGCAGGAAGGTAAATGGAGGACAGAGTAATGGATGCAGGAAGGTAAATGGAGAGCAGAGTAATGGACAGCAGGTGGGCTAAATGAGGAGCGTTGTACTTGGCAGTATCTGACTCTAGTGAATGCCTCTCCTATTTTGCAGTATAAGCCTTGACACAAGACTATGAAATAAATAATGCACACTGCCTCCAGCTTTCGTTTGCAGCTGTGCCTCCACTTATTCAGCCTCTCTTCCAGAGTAACACCATTCATCATTCCATTACTTTTCACTGGGATTGTGCTGTGCCTTGCTGGTGGATGTTGACCACTATCAGTGAAACAGTGGTTTGTCCCTGTGACCAGGAGAAGCTGTAATTGCCATCTTTCTTGGTGGTGCACTGTCATGTGTTGAATTTCCAAGTAACCAAAATAAATCTCAGGTATGTGTTTACATGTTGGAGACTTGTGGGAACATCATCTACTGGTTGTGTACGGAAATTTGCAGATGATGGTTGTTTTAAATGTTATAACACTGATGAAACCAAGAAATATTAAGATGAATGGGAAATTAAGAGCATTCCCCAAATAAGACTTATTTTAGTATGTGAGAAGGAAGGCGGTGTATCCATGGCATATCCAAGGCTTTCTTGACACATTAAGATGAATGATTTCTAGATTAGTGGTTGGAGAATAGAGGGATGAGCCAATATATAACTCACTGGCAGGTCTTAAGTTAAAATTCTTTAGTCTAAATCCTACCAAACCTTTAAGAAGAAAGAGTATTTAATCTAGACTAAAAACTGAACTGATTCATGGACAGAGTGCGATCTTGAAGTAGGTTATTCCTCTATTATAAAGCTTTTAAACATGTATTTGTGAAAAGATTAACTTTAAATTGCTGTTGTAGGTAACAAAAGCCTAACCATACATAACAATAAAATCCTGGAAAATTGTTTTGGATAAGGTGCTTCTTCAGACAACGACACATCCTATTATACTAAGCAGCTTCCATTAAGTGGTACTATAGCAGAAACCTATAATACCCTGTATGTTATTGGTAACGTGGAAGGAGCTGACAGTGGTATCGAGGGTTAATGTGTGGCTAAGGGTTAATTAGTGGAGAATGAATTGGCAAATGGAAACAGTTTTATTTTTGACTATTAACACATAAATAGCAATTCAGCCATTCTGATTCTTCCATGACTTTCGACAGATGGGATTCTGTGTTGAGTGCTGACCTTCATGCATAGAGCGAAGGATTCTGAGAGTCAGATATTAGTGGTTAAGTGAGAGCTGCATCACCGTAATCAATCAGCCAGAGGGAGATCAGATCCATGGTATGTCCTTTAAACTCTAAAACAACCTAACTCAAAGTCTAAAATGCAACAATCTCTCAATCTAATCTCAGACCAGCAGTAGTCATCCACTGTCTCTTCTGAACCACTCTTCCCCTCATCTTCCTCTGTCTTATTTGTAACTTTTTCCAGCAGCATGTCTGGTCCTAGTTCCTTCTCCATTGTCCTTAGTTTCTTCTTACCCTCAGGATCCAGCAGTTTTTCTATGCCCAGGTGG